AGAGTGCCATGGAATTGCACTTCTGCCACCTCCTCGGAGAGGCTTTACCAAAACACCTGGGAAGGACATTTCTGCTGCTCAGCTGTTCCATTGGTCTGTGCTACACAAATACCAGAATTGCCAAGTGTTGTGACATAACACCTCCCTGTGGGGTCACCAAAGTCTTGCTAAAATTTACTTGGGGTTCGGTTGTCCAGCTGCTGGGAACTATTATGTTACTGAGCCAGGGGTATAAATTCAGTGGGTCAATACCTTGCCATACACTTTAGCCCCGGTAATCTAGCCACAAAAGCATCAGTGTCTCTTATTTCCAGTGACTTTTATGGCAAGGAGATGATTTGTTTGCTCAGCGATCTAAGGTAGGAACCATCTGCTGAGTTTTGCTTGCTGTTGGACGTCACAGGCGGGCTTCTGAAAACACCCCCAAAGTAACAGCTCATCCGCCAGATCTGGACTTGTGTAACTGTGGAGAGATGAGCACTATTCTTAGGGACAGCATTTTGGTGGAGTCACACCTCCAGGAGGTGTGAATCTAGCCCCTGAAAAGAGCAGATGAGAATAATCCCTCACCCACAGACAACATTGCTCTGGTGTCAAGCTTCGCATCTGGAGAGCTCCAGGCTGCCTGTGGGCAACCACGCTCAGACCTGCTCATTTAGGACACAGGTGCATGCAGGGACTGCCCTCGCACAAACAGAGCTCTGGGGCAGATCAGGGAGTAAATGTAAAGCTCCCCATCCCCATCTTTGTGCTTAGCCCATAGAACTGCTCTTCTTAGCTGTTGGTTTTCATGAATCTATACGAAAATCAGAAATTTCAGTGAGGCCTCTCAATACTTAATTGCTGTTACAAAGATTATTCCTCTCCATGACTTTTTCTCTATGGGAGTCTCCCCCACTGAAGGCAGAGTGTGGGCACAGTGAGGCAGATGATGTATTAGAGGCATTGCTTGTGAAATGATGGCTGCATGTGGCCCTTTAATGCACTGCAGTGATGCAGGCTCCTGTAGCACCCCTCCCACCCTAGAGTCAGGGTCTGGTCCAGCTCTAAAGAGTGACAAGGTTTGATGACGTTAAGCATCACGGAAGAGGATATAATCAAGAGCAGAGGCCAGCTGAGATCTCCCTGTAGCTGGCCAAGAGCCTGAACTGCCAAAGCACGCAGCCCTCTAGTATTGTCTGAAAATATGATCAACACCTGAGAGAATTGGGTTTGCTCAGCCTGGGGAAGAGAAGGCTTCAGGGTGACCTACATGTGACCTTCCAGTGCCTGAAGAGAGCCCACAAGAATGATGGAGAGGGACTTTTTACAAGGGCATGTAGCAGACAGGGCAAAGGAATGGCTTCAAACTAAGGGTGGGTTTAGATTAGATACTGGGAAGAAATCATTTGCTGTTGGGGTGGTGAGGCACTGGCACAAATTGCCCAGAGAAGCTGTGGGTGCCCCATCCCTGGAATTGCTCAAGGCCAGGCTGGAGCAACCTGGTCTGGTTGGAGGTGTTCCTGCCTGTGGCAGGGATAGTTGGAATGAGATGATCTTTAATACCCCTTCCAACCCAAACCATTCTATATTTCCATTATTATGTGATACCTTGCATAGTGCTTCAGCTGTATCTGTGATGTAGAAATGCAGAGTTTTGATTTGGAAAGGCTGAAATTTTCTCTAGTTTGTCATTATAATTTGCTATTGCTATGCCTCTAGCCCCTGAGGTCCATGAACAAATTATGTGTTTAATTAGATATATTTGTGGTAATTACAAGTTCTTTTTTTCTGGTGATTAATTTTAATTATAGATTCTAGAAAAAGGAGAAGATTCATGATAATACTCCCTGTCCTTATCCTCAGGTCTAAAGTACCCTAGTGTCCCAAAAGACAGTATGTGCTCAACAATATAATGATCCTGAACAACTATGGAGAAAACTCTGACTATCCAGATTCCTGCAGTTAAGCATTTGGAAGTTGTTATGTCTGGGGTTTTTACCATGCCTAATGGCAATAGGAAATAAAATGAATGGCTGTGGTTCATTCAGTGATTTTCCTGACGTAATTAATGGACAGAAATAGAAGGCAGGAATTGAAAGAAACCACTCCCATTCTTTTCTTATTCCCTTCTGAGATTTTTGCAGGCAAAGATCTATAAACTTTATCTGAGTGTTTACTGAGTAGTTTTTCCCATGTTATATGCAACCCTCTGAAATCTGTTGACGCACAAAGGTCAAGTCCCCTGCATTTACTTTTTCCTGCAGCAACAATCTTCTGTTTTTTCTTTAAGTAATTGGTCATAATAGTTGTCTTCAGAATAGTGGGCAGATTTCTTTATTTAGACCCAGCTTTTATTAAAAATCTGCTAAACTGTGTGCCTGATGGACACAGTCTTGTCAAGCAATTTAGTTCCTAGTATGCTGGGTTTGCAGAGGATGCTGTTTTTCCATTGCTTCTGTTTCAGCACCGTTCATGGAGCCTGTCCACAACATATACCCCACGGTTAAGGATTTTGAAATAAACCAAATTTAACTACATGTCATGGCATAGACAGAGTTAACCACACTTGCAGGTAGCTGCATGATACCAGGAGACAGGCAATATTGTATATATGATGATCACTGATAAATATATTTTCTTGCTGGAGTCCAGTGAAGAGGAGGATTTGGCTAGCTCTTCTATGAAAGCTGTTTTAATTTCTGCCCTTTTAGAGATTTACTCATTTGGCTTGTCCAAGGGATAAAACCTGATTTTAATGCTGAAGAACATACGCTGAACTGTGTGTCTGAAGGTAGAGAAATCCAGTAACTGCCAAAAATGGAATAGCTTCCTCCACACATACCTTTCAGTGCTAACCTGAAATAATTGGTTTAGTGCTGGAAACATGCTGATGCATGTCAGTGTAGATGTTGAGATCCCGGATTAATGCAAGAATAAGAAGTGGGCTGTGATTCATACTTAGTAGCTTCTGTCCTCCCACTAGCTTACCAATATCTAAAGGCCATTACAAATACCACAATCACCATTTTCTCTCCTGTTGAACCAGCATATTTATTATGGAGTTCAGGTGTGCTTCATGTTTGCCTCCTTGTGCTGTCACACCTTAGGTTCCCTGGAAGGGGGGTAATGGGCATTGTCTGGAGACCTTATAGGGGGAAAAATTTAAGGTGTTCTCACAGTAGGGGGGGATTCATCCTTCCAGAACTAAACCTGGACCTGAAAACTAAAGGGACAGCAGCAACTGGTGGGTCAGTAGGATGCATTGAAACCTGTCTGGCTGGTGGCACATATTGGACCAGACTGACCAATCATCTTTGGGTAAGAAAATACCCCATTCTGCAATATCACGCTTAGGTCTTTCTGTGGTTTGCAAAAGACAGACTGGGGAGTAGCCACTTCTTGTGGCTGGAGGGGCCATCTGAAATTAGAAAAGGAAACTGGAAATAGGGAACAAAGCTGCAGCTCACTTACTGAAAGAGTGAGTTCTTATATAAGGGACTGTTTGCACAACACCATATCCAAGTGATTTTTGTGGAGTAGAAACAAGCCACCCGTTGAAGCTGCTGAGCTGGAAGTTTTCTGAATGTGCTGAAAATGATAATAATAATGTCATATTCTGCTCCTGGGAGGACATATACCTCTTGTAGGGTTGTCCAGCCAATGGATATTTCAAAGCTTCTGACAAAAAGCATCAGAAAAATTGCTGTCCTCTGGTTACAGTTCTCAATTTTCTATGTGCACTGTGTAAGTAAGAAGACTATTAATAACGGGAAGATGTTGTGAGCAACAACATACAAGTTTATCTACCTGCAGCAGCACTGGCATAAGCCAAGCATCATGTTTTCACCCATTCCAAGAGGAATTCTCTGTTTATCCAGATTTGGCATGATTGTATGGGGGAAAAGGAAACGCTTTTTGAGCTGCTGTTGGGAACAATGCTATTGCTAAATATAAGCAAGTAAGACATAGTTGAAATGTGTTGTGCTGTAATTTTGTTTCCTGTTTTACCAATCCTTATTTTCATTTTTTTTCCCTACAGAACAATTCAATTAAAACATCGAAATACAATTTCTTCACTTTCCTGCCTCTCAACCTGTTTGAGCAGTTTCAGCGAATAGCCAATGCTTACTTCCTTTTCTTGCTGATTTTGCAGGTATGAAATCACCGTGCTGTTTCCAGCAGATTGTTCTCTGTTATCAAAGCCAGTCTATGTTTGACAGGTGTAATGAAGTGCAAGCTATAGTCCTGGTGTGAATTAGCATCTTAGTAAAATCTTACAGTACATAGAAAGTAGGGCAGAAAAAAGCAATTTTCTCTTTTACCTTTTTACATGAGGGTTTGAACTAAATGAAGGAAAAAAGTTAATTTGTTTTCAACAAATTGTGCAACTTTTTCATGCCCTGCCCTACTGTCCCTTTGTGTCTACCTCTGAGTGCTCCTGACTGTCCTCAGTTTTGCATTACTTACTCATCCTGTAGTGTAAAGCCAAGTTGTGTCTTACCCACAGATTTTAAGGTAAAATCCACAGGCAGTCACAAAGGAAAACAGCAAGAAGGACACCACATTTGCAACCTGTGGTGTTTCCCTGGGAAGGAAGGAGTTAACATCAGCAAGGCTCAAGGTTTTGGCTAGTTTGCATAAAGCTGGATATGCTGCTCCCCTCTCCAGGGTGAGGGAGGTGCCCAGTATGGAGTGTGTCAGCCCCTGGCAGCACTGTCGAACCCTGTGGATTGCAGTGGCATTGTGTTGCACTTTGCTCATCACTGCTGCTAATGATACCCTGAAAGCTGAACGCACCAGATAAATTGAAATCAGGATTTCTGCCCCTTTGCCCCTTGCTGTGTACTCTGCCATTGCTGACTCATATCAGAATACACGTTATCAAAAGAAGGGTATAATTTTGATTATGTTTCAAGCTTAATGTTTTAAAGTTGATCATTTCACTGCACACAGATTTGCAAAATAATATCTCAAATGCTTTTTTTTTTTTTTTAATTTCAGCTCAGAAAAGCATAGGTGAAATGTGGTTAAGCCTTCAGCATACCACACATGATCCTTTTTGCTTATTTGCAGGAAATGAATTTTTGAAACTACAGTGCATCTATGTTTTTCAAGAGAAGGTGCCTTTTCAGCTGAGCTGGGAGCACAGTTCCTGCGTTGTTGTGCTGCACTCTAGCTGTTTGTCTGTCAAATTCTTACTATTTCAAAGTATTTGCCTTAAATTATTCCATTGTGTGTTTTGCTAGGCCATCTAGGGTTGACTATATATAAAAGCACACAGCTTTTTCTTTACATCAAGATAGCCTAAAGAGGGCAGGCATTAGTCTACATGTTCCTCACTCCATCCCTGTGGGACTATTCCTGCCTCAGGAGTGGATATGATGGGCAGGCTGTGGGGACTCTGTCTCTCCCTCCTTTGTCACAGAGCAGTGGGACATGCATTTTCCAAGGGAGGTGAGAAGGCAGCAGTTGCAGCCTGTACAGCTGAGCAGGGCTGTGGTGCCTGTAGGATCTGGGCTATGACAGTGCATAAATGTTAATTTCACAACGCACATGGAGCTGACAGTTCCCAGATCCACACTGAGGGACACACTAATGCTGGTTTCACATTGCTTCCAGCCCTAGTGCTGCACTTCTAGAGGAAGGGGAGAACTGTGTGGGGGTGAGGCATCTCCCTCTGCTTGACGGACAGCCTAACAGAACCACCTTCAACTCTTTGGTCCTCTCACTGTCAAAGATGTAGGAAACAAAAGCGGCTGTGCTGCTCCTGGGACAGCAAGGCCAGCCCTGGCAACAGCTTGCATTGTCCATTGATGCAAAATTTACTTCAGCAAAATGTGAGAAGCTACTGAAACAAAGAACAGAAGCTTTTGAGGGCTCTGCACAGCTGGTTTTGCTCAGACAGCTCTTGAGTCCCTCACAGCAGGCTTGCCCATGTCAGTACTTCCAAAGAAATACCCTGGGGACTTGGCAATCTTGATTCTGCAAACAACAATAAAGAGCAGCCCACTACACTTTCTGACAGCTCAATTTTTCTAACTTTAATTATAGCTTGTTTTGGAAGGAAAACATGGGTTCCCTGGCTCTCCCACCTTTGGAGGGGGGCGGATCACATATCAGAGATGGAGCTACATTTGTGTCTTTATTCTATATTCAGGTATCATAGAAAGATGTTGTCTGCAGCTTGATTAGGAAACAGTGATTTTCTGAACTGGCAGGAAATGTCTTAACTCAGATCTTTTCTTCCTACAGTTGATTCCTCAGATTTCCTCACTGGCCTGGTTTACAACAGTGGTGCCCCTGGTGCTGGTGCTGGCTGTATCAGGAGTCAAGGATGCCATTGATGATTTTGTAAGATCTGTATTTCTGACCTGTACTTTGGAGTTGATCTGTGATTCTTCAGCACAGTAACTGAAATAAACTGCTTAAACTCAGCTGGTGGCAGGCACTAAGATGGGGTCTGAAATTAAGTCCCCAAAATCTATAGTTTGTTACTGAAACAGGAGCTAGAATTTCCAAATTGCTGAACAGCCCAGCAGCTCCATTGACTTTCTCTGAAACTGCTCACCATGTCTGAAAATGTGATCACTCATAGATATGTCTGGATGCAGGCAGAGAAATCTTTTCTTAGGTTTCCACTTTGGAGAACTCATCCTCTGTCATCTAGTACAATGTAGATGGAAAAAAAATTTGGTAGGAAGCAAGTGCTCAACCCACTTGTCTGCTGTCATCAGAGCTAATGGCCAAAAGCCCAGTTGACTTCACAGAGTGATATTAGAACTGTTTAGTATCTGATTTTCTCTCATTATTAAAATGATTTTGATGTCCAATGGAGCAATGCCAGAACATCAGTGACCACTTTCCATATGAGAGCAGAGGAATGAATCTCTCTGGTGTTTACAGACTAAGGTGGGTGGGAGCAATGCCAGCTGAGTCAGAGCTGTGCTAAAGTGACATGTAAGGCTCTACCCTCCTTCTTCTCTCCAAGAGCAAGCCCTTGCCTGTTGCCCTTTGCAGTCTGGTTATGCTCTGTGTCACTGCCATAAACATGTGCTGGACACTGACTCGGTTGTGACACTAATCTGCCTGACCCATTCAGGCAGCTGGGTGGAAATCCAAAATGTTAATGAACTGCCTAGGGCTCCTGAGTGTTTGGTTTCCTGGAAATGCCTTTTAACCTTCTGATCCAATTTTCAGAACCGACACAAAAGCGACAAACACGTCAACAACCGCCCAGTCCAGGTCCTGATCAATGGCATGTAAGTCCTTTTTGCTGTAGTTCTCACAGGAAAAAGCATTTTATTAGTAAATATTTTTGATTTTTTTGTGTGTATGTGTGCACGATTCTCAAGGATCACTAACAATTTAAAATTGAATTGTGTTTCATGCCACTAGTTCATGCAGTTTTGGACTATGTGTCTGATTAATGAACCCTAGACACAGTACCAGAATCGTACAGACATTATGGCTGTGACCTTGTGCTGCCAAAAACTAAACTCTTTCTCTGTTCCTGGCTGTTTATGTTTAAGTAAGAATTTCAGAGTCTTGTATTACTTTACTCCTTACCCCACAAGTAACATGCAAAGCTATCTTCTGGGTCCATTTATATTATAGCGTTTATTTTGCATTAAGCAAAACTAGGCATTCTCAACAAGATATTTCAAATTAAGAAGCTGGAATATCTCCTTCATACACTTCATTATACTTTGAGTGTGTGTAGCACTTCTGGCTTAGATGTACCCAAAACATTTCAGCTGCGTGCTTTGGACATTGTACTGCTAGTTCTTTCCTGCAGAAAAAATAGCAGAGGCTTTGGCTTTCATGGCAGACAGATGTGCTTGCAGCTCCATGGAGTCCAACTATGCACAGGACACAGCTGTAGACAGCTGGGAAGTATTTTGTGACTTTTTTCACACACTATAGATAGCAGTATGTTGTGTAAACTCCAACAGATTACCAAACAGTTAAGAATATAAGTGGAAACTGAAGAATAGGGACATAGTTTTTTGTGCTCTCTGCTAAGTAAACCAGTTTCTTAGTTTACTGTGTACTAGTTACTGTGTCTAGGAAACAAATTTTGACACAGAAATTTTATAATGTTGTGCCTTTTTCAAAACCTGGAAACCACAGATCCTGTCCAGCTCTAACCAACACTGAATAAGCAAGATCAAACTGAGTTCAAGCTTGAGCTCTCAGTCCTGTTTTGAGACTAATCTTTCTCACCTCTAGAATTTTCATATACAGCTATCTTGTCTGTGTTGGTGCCTGCAGTTTAGCTGGCTTCCTGTGTCACATCTGACTTGCTGCTGTGAAGACCACTGCAGACATGGCTCAGACAGTCAAGTGCACAGCCAAAGCACCTGCACTGACCTTCCTGGAAGCTGGCTACTCTTGCTTTTAGCACACCCAGAAAACCTTACACAATCTGCGGTTTTCCCAGATCAAGTCTTTCACACAAAGCAGAGAGAGTTTTTTGAGGCAAAGTGGCCCTTTAAGAAAAGGAAGGAAGGGAGTAGTCACTGCAGAGACAAGGACAAGGACAGTGCACACGGACTGCACTGCTGTTTTGGGGGTTGGTCTCAAACCAGCATGGGTCAGCCCAAACAGTGCTTTTATTGATTTTTACTGCTATTTTTTTGCACTGTGGTGACCCCCAACTTAATATGGATCAGGACACATCATGGCAGGCCCTGCTCCCAAGTCTTGATGGCATCTACAGTCTGGCCCCAGGAGCAGAGCTAAGTTCCCCACTTTCCCAAGAGGCATTTGCTGTATGTGCTTACTTACTAGAGGTTTCCTTGCAGGTTAAAGGAGCAAAAATGGATGAATGTCCAAGTGGGGGATATAATAAAACTAGAAAACAACAACTTTGTGACAGTGAGTACCGTTTGTCTCTATCCTGATCACAGCTAATCTCTGCCACTCTTATCACTCACAAGAAAATCAGTGGTCATGATGATGGGCAGTAACCGTAAGCAGCAGTGCTTCGCGATGCCTGCTGACTGTGTGAATTCATGCCAAGTCTGTCTGTCTGTCTGTGCTCAGGCTGATCTCCTGTTGCTGTCGAGCAGTGAGCCACACAGCCTTACGTACATCGAGACAGCTGAGCTGGACGGGTAAGTGAGCCTGGCCCTGGAGTGCAGCCCTGTCACCGCTGCAAAGCCACCTTCCTGAGGACTCTGGGTGCTGCAGGCACATCTGCCAGAGCTTTGGTAGCAAGAGTTTCATTACATGTAGAATAAACCTTGGATAGGTATCTTGAAAATAAAGTCGTCTGTTGGATAATTTTGCTTCTTGAGTGCAAATGTCATGTGAGGAGGGGACTTGACTTTTCAGTGACAGCTCTTCTAACACTGAGAGTTAGTTAGACACATGTCCCTGCAATATCCCTATGAGAAGCTGTTGCTTTTTTCTCCTCTAGTATTTTCCTTGAGACAGATTATCTGGGTGAAATAATCATAATGAATAACTGGTAATTTCCTTTAGTCTGTTGTAGAATAATATCTGTGCAAGCACACAGCAAAGGCTTTCAGATGCTGCCCACTCCAGGACACAACTGGCTACAAAACCAGAGGGCTGCAACATGTATTAATTGGAATAAACTGGAGCTGACTCATCTTTATGATCCAGTTTGCATTACCTTTTCTGCATTGCCCAGAACTAGCAGCAGTCTGAGTGACTAAGCAAAACTAGAAATTCTAAGAAATTGTGTCTCTCCCAAGACCCTACAGACAGCCCTCTGGACTTTCCTCATCTGATTTCTGCTTAAAATAGGTTTGTAGTTTTCATACACACTAGTGCCACTTCTAAGAGGCCCTGAACTAATGCAGTTTTCTTTTGACATTGCATTTCCAGCTCCCCAGCTAGCTAGTCCCAGGACCAAAATAATCTTCCAGATCAGAATACCATGGGAGAAAAGATTCAGAGCTCTCATACATGCTTAGATACCTTGGGTTTAAATGTGTCATGAGTGACAAGGTAGAGAGTGCGCTGCTCTGTGTGAAATTAAGAAGACAGAGCCACTTCATCTTTGATACTATTCCTCAGAATTCCTCTGAATGCCTGTCAGTGCAACTGAGACAATCTACACCCTTTGGCCAGGTGAAACAGATGTACAGTATCACAGTCCATCAGATGGCTAAGCAAGACTGTCCTCAAGAGCAGAAGTGATTTTCAAGGAGAGTTTTCAGTTCACATATGACTTTCAGTTCATGTTTTTTTCTTATATTGTTCACCACAGTGAAACAAACCTGAAGGTGAAGCAGGCACTGACAGTCACTGCAGAGCTTGGAGAAGACCTTCAGAAGCTGACAGAGTTCAATGGTGAGTATAAATGGAAAATCTACTTTACAGATGATTTGCCCAAATTACAGAGAGTGGTTGAGATTCTTCCTTCTAAGCTATCCCTTGCTAGGTGTTCTCTGCAAACAGTGCCAGCAAAACAGAAGAGGCTCTCTGCAGTCTGTACAGCAGGTATCAACACCACCAGCAAAGGAAAAGTTCCCTTTTTGCTTGCAGGTCATGGTGCCACGCATGGCTATAACCTGACTCTACCTTGGCGGCAATTCTTCTGGATGGACACTTTTCTTCTTTGTCTGTTGGCACAAGTTAAGACTATCCACCTTGAAAGCCAGCACACGAGTTCACATAACTGCACTATGGAAACTGTTTTCCCAAAACCTTATGCTTAGTTCTGGTCTCAAAACATTTTCACACTGCACTTTCACACTGATGTAGCAATGCTGATGCACTGATTACATTTCTCTTCTGATCAGTGGCACTTCCCAGACACCACACGGACCTGAGGACTAACTGTGCACACAGGACAGGTGACTGAAGCCTCACCCTGAAGCTGTTCCTTTTCTCTCTAAATGAAAAAATAAAGACTGAGTTTTAAAATATCTAAAGGCAAGCGGTATAGATGTGCTTAACAAGAAACAAGACCTTTCGCAGCGCTGTTTTCTGTACCAAATGCAAAATTAGGATAGGATAGGATAGGATAGGATAGGATAGGATAGGATAGGATAGAATAGAATAGAATAGAATAGAATAGAATAGAATAGAATAGAATAGAANATAGAATAGAATAGAATAGAATAGAATAGAATAGAATAGAATAGAATAGAATAGAATAGAATAGAATAGAATGTTTTAATTGGAAGGGATCTACAATTATCGTCTAGTCCAACTGCCTGAACATTTCAGGGCTGACCAAAAATTAAAGTATGTTTTTAAGGTTACTGTCAAAATGCCTCTTAAACCTGACAGGCTGGGGGCATCAATCACCTCTCTGTTTCAGTGAGTGGTCACCCTCTCAGTAAAGAAATATTTCCCAAGAGGCCCAGTCTGAACCTCTTCTGGTGCAACTTCAACCATTCCTGTGTGTCCTGTCACTGGATACCAGAGAATACTTAGCAGCACATACAGAGAAAGGAGCTAAACCTGTCAAACCCAGAATCCTCCATGCTCACACATCATCTGTCTGTGGAGAGATGACGAGGGAACAGACAAAGTGGTGTTAGTCACGTTCTGCACTGCTCTGCTGGCTTGGATATGAGGTCAAGACTACAGGAGGAGTTATTATGGAAAGGGGTGGAATGAGTGCTGATGTCCTTGGAATGCCTTAAGGATTGCAGGCTCTCAGGAAATACTTTTAGATATAGAGGAAAAATAATTTTAGAAAAAAAAAGTTTTTGAAATAAGTAGATGATTCCAGGATGAGTGGTGGGGATGTGGCAGAGAGCATAGCTGAGGCTGTCTCTGGTAGAGTTCCTTTTGCCTTCTTTGTTGAGGTTTTAAGCAATAATATGTGTGAGTTTTGCCAAGTGTCAGCTCAGTACATCAGGATTTGTTTGAAATGATGGCTGAGGTTCTGGGTGTTCTAGGTCTTGAGAAATATGTTTTTACGTGTACAGTTAGATGCTTAATGTTAATAATTGGAGTGGCATGCCTTAATTATTTTCCTGAGCAGGCTGAAGTGTCTATCAATTTGTAAGCAAAATCTTAATCTTAGATAATCCTTCAAGCATGCTTAGCTTGATGGTTATCTAAGGGCACAGTGTTCTTGGAAGTGCTTAATTATAAAAACATTTAAAAATATTTGGAAAATGCAGAATTTTCTTATTGGATATTTATTTATTCTCTAAATCTTTATGTTGTAAATAAAAGTGGCCTCTTCACAATACTTGAAATGAATAAAATGTTTCCCAGGATGATTTATATTTGACAGTGTACTGGGAAGAGTGCCTGGAATCAGACCCAGCCTTGCATTTCCCTCAGCAAATCTCAGTAGAAATATTTAAATATTTATGTAACTCTTTATCTAATTACTTTTTAAGACAGGAAGAGAGAACAGGGTTGTGCAGCTAATACAGGCACTCAGTGGAATGCTTAATGTGAGTTATGATGTTTGTTTGATGATTCAGATAAGGAGGATGCTTGCAAAACACTGAATTTCTTTGTTTGATTTGGGCAACTGGGAGACCAGAAAGGCAACAATACTTTTCAGTTACCCTCTACTTACCACAGTTGACTTGGCACTATTTCACTTTTTCAGCTGAAATGCTTCCCAGATCTCTTATTGCTGTTACTGGGTGAGGGGGACAGCAGGCATGGTGCCTGGCTGTGGTGCCTTCACTTGCAGAGCTGCTGGGCTCAGTGCAGCTGCCCTGGGGGGACCTTTAGAGCTTCTCACTCTTTGGTGGTCTGTCTCATTTGGATGAATCCCTTCTGATCTCAAAATCAGCATGCCAGAAGCCCAGACCCATCTGATTATGGGAAAGCAGATGGGGACACACTCAAGGTGCTCACAAGAGCATTGTCCCACAGCAGGCATGGTGTTCCTGGTGGGAGACCATGCCCTGGGTTTGCTTTGCATTGTGCTGTTTGAGGTTCCAGTGCAAAGACCCTGTTTCATTTGTGCTTTTCAAGGTGTCTGTGAGGGTGGTAGTGAGGTGGGCCTGGTCACTAGAAACTTTCAGAAACGATGGGGCACAGGTCTGGTCCTTGTTGGACTAACCAGATGATAAAGTAGAAGAGCAACACAGTTGTTAGTATGAATTCTCATGCCATATGTGTCACTGAATTTCCTAATTATTCAATCTTTCATGTGTGATGGTTAGTCTGCCCTAGATTAGAGCTGCTTTTTTGATCATTTGCACAATGTTTGATTTTAAATCTGTAGTGGTGAAGATGGTCATGACACTTAAAGCTGTACTTTTCTTCTGGACTCCTCTGGATTTTGTTTCCAGTCTCTTGAGCCTGGTGTGTAAATCTGGGAGCAGCTAGAAGAACTGTACTCTCTGCAAATGCTAGTATTTTAGTAGGTATTTATAGCCTGTGATGAAAATAACTGCTGATTAAGTGAACAGGCTGAACTCTTAGATTGCCTTTCAGTAAGGCATATTTGTATTTTCCAGTTCTCAATACATCCACAGGGCTCTGCTTTGAATCTTTAAATGTCAGGTGCAGCGATTGATTTAAATAGTCATTTTTATACTGAGGTACCTGAACACATTTTATTACAAGAAATAAATATAAAGCATGGAAATAGACACTCCAATCACTTACAGTGTCTGCTCAGTGGCCAAAGAAGGTAGTGGTATCTTTTAATGCAGTCCTGGGACTTGAGTTATAAAACATATAAAATTAAAAATCAGTGAACAAAGACACCTCAGTTAATTACTCTTCTGCAGGCTTTAGGCTATGATTCTATTCGCTTGGGCTCCTGCAGTTGGAGGGAAAATGAAAAAGGAAAAAAGGCTATGTCGGCACTTTTAGCTAAAGTTATCCAGTGACTATCCCTATCACTATGAACTTGCTATGAATGGATTAAAAGTATGTTGCTGGTTCAACATTTCTTCTCACCCATATAGAAGCTGTGGAAACTTTGTTTTGTACTCTACCAATAAAAAATTGCTGTGTTTAAAGAATTGGATAGATGCAGGTTCACTGTGGTCCCTTCAATTATGAGATGAATATGGGGAAGAAGCAACATCCCAGAAGTCAGTAAATTTAAGATATAGAATGGGAACGACAGGGTTAGGAGTCAGCTGTAACTAGAGTGTGAAATATTGTCTGAGGAGCAGCTGGGAATGCAGTATTGATGACACCTTTCTGGACCAAGATTTCCATTTTTGCTTTTACATTCTTTTTACAGGAGAAATCAGATGTGAGGCACCAAACAACAAACTGGATAAATTCACAGGAACTCTTACTCTTCGGGGAGAGAAATATGCCTTGGACAATGAGAAGATGTTGCTGAGGGGCTGTACTATCAGGAACACAGAGTGGTGCTTTGGGCTCGTTATTTATGCTGGTAGGTAAAAAACTGACATGCTGATTGCAGAGCCCAGCAGCACTGGGGTGGGGATACGTCACACTCAGCATGCACAGAGGAAGCAAGTATTTATGTTTCTACCAGGTACAACAAGAAAAAACTTTCTTGTTTCAGAAATCCACTCAACAAAGTACATGAGGGGAATCTTGATCGATGACCAAGAAAGACTGTAACAATTAAATTTGGTTAAGAATTCTCTCAAGTGTACTGAAATAAACACTCTGTATCATTTCTATATGATTTTCATCCACATTGGAATATCAGGGTCATCAATAATATTATTGATTAGATAGATGCTTTTCATGAACCTAGTCCTTCCATTGTTTCTATACTCTAGACATGTGAAAAAATGCACAATATGTCACCAATAGCATAGCAATACCAAGTATGCTGGGAAAAGTGATTAAACGTGAAAAGAAGGGTTGAATGTTAAAAGAAAAGAGTTGAGTCAAAGTCCAGATTTAGTGGTTTTATGTGACTCTCTCCATATAATCCCACACCAAATGACTTAAACTGTTTCTGCCCAAGTTTCCCACTAGCATTCTTAGACTGTGTGTACCTGACTTCATGAGAGCTGTGATGGTTATTTATGCTGAAAAGCACAGTGGGGCCTCAGAGGGAATCAGCTTTAGAACAGCTGAGCTTTATTACTAAAATTAACAAGTGTGCTTCATCTCCAGGGCCAGACACGAAACTGATGCAGAACAGCGGAAAAACAACTTTTAAGCGAACTAGCATTGATCGGCTCATGAATGTCCTTGTGCTGGTGGTAAGTCTGATTAATGTGTCTTCCTTTCTTCAGATGTGTTCATCATTTCCAGATGCTCCACCTCTCTGTCCACACAAATGGGGGAATATCAGAAGTGACTAATGATAAAAAGAAAAAGTACATCATAATTTATTAGCAGCCGGAGCTCTGCAGTGCCTATGCCAGCCCATCTTGCAGAGCAAGGCCATTACATTGACAGAATTAAGGACTTTCCTTCTGAACTTGTCGTTTACTCTGCTCTCCCTTTCCCCCCCTGCATTTTTGCATGAGAAATATTTTGAAGCCTACAAAGCCCTTTTTTCCTTCTAGTAATTTTGTCATTTTCTATTTAAATAAACATTAGTAGTTCTCTCTCTTCCTCCCGATTTCTTGGCATCTCTGGTGATATCTGCATAGGACTTGGTAATTGAGTTTGCTAATTTACATGATGCCAGCCCCTGACTTAACACGTTAGGGTAAATTATTAGACATGGTCTCATTAATGCTCAGAAGCTGGTGTTTTAAGCAGCAGGTAAATTTGAGAACACTAATCTTACATAGCAGGCACTGTTTTCAGACTGAAAAACAGATTGAATTTGAGGGTTAAGCTCATCAGTGGTTTTAACAAATGGCAAATACTTCCAGGTAGAAATAGTGATTCTTTCACAGACTTTCTCAAGATTTTGCTGCTTGAGTTCAAAGCCACTCAGGGAAGGAAGACATACACTCTGACACTACTTTAATCAATGTTGCTTGAAGAAAAGGGCTTTCACTTCAGATTTTATTTCCCCTTGAGTGCAAATTTGTCATGCTTTCCTATGCATGCTGCACCACCTTCAGTTTACGACACTGGGGTCTGGTGGTCAGTGCTCACTGTTCCTGCTTCTTCCCTACTACCCTTGCTCTCCAGATCACCCTAGCAGCCAGCTGGGACAGTATCCATTCCCAGGCACTGGAACAAGCCCTGGGGGAGGCATGCAGCAGAAGTCTGTGCATTACAGCAAGGCTGTCCTGAGCTCTCCCTGCCCTCTCTGGCTTCATGCCTCCTCAGCACAGGAGCTTGGATCACAAACATCTCCAGGGCGACACTACCCTCCAACCTCCACCTTTCATCTCAGCCTCTGTATTCCTGGTTTTTTTCTTTGGATCCCAAAAGTCCTTTAGGTGAGCCTAGGGATGCCCAGCAGTGCCACAGCACAGAGAGCCACTCCAGGGTTAACTTCAATTCTTTTTCAGGCCTTGCTCTCAGTGTGCAGTGAGGAAATGCCCTTTATTTTAATAATCTTGCACCAGTCTCTACCACAGGAAAATCTTGGTTTATCAAGCTTAGTTATCATCAGCTTGTCTCCCTCAGTGTTTTTCTTCCCTTTCTCCCCTTAAGTGGATAGCAAAACCAAACAAAGTTTGGGCCTCTTACACTCAAAATTTTTCAAGCATTTGAAGAATTTCACGTTTTGTTAGGTGTTCTGATATGTTCTGGAGAGGAGAATGGGCTGTGGAGGGATCCACAGGGCACAGAAACAGAGCAGAGGAAAACTGAACTGGGAATATAGAATTTAATGTTCAATTAGGATTTGCTAAATCTTCTTTCACAAGCCAAGGGTCCCACCCAGGACTTTCAATCTGTTTGGCCTCTCTTTATAAAAACAAATGAGATGAATTTACCTCCTGGCTCTGTTTTAAAAAAAAAACTGAGCAAGTTGCAGCCGATTGCATCAGCCTCTGCCTGAGTTCTCGGGCGCTGGAGGAGCCAAGGGTGTGTTTGTCTCCTTTACATATTTTTAAGGAACCTAAAATTTTGGTGTCTAAGTAAAGCTCTGTCATACATTAAACACCAGACTCTTTGCACACCTAAGGGGATGTGGGCCCTGGGTTTTTCCAGCTCACTGGGTGGTCGAAGGTTAAGGAGTGTGGTCATAAAAACAGGCAGTATATTGTGCTCTTGAGTTGGAGAATACAAAGCAGCCACGTCTGACTATAAATAGGTAATTTAAATGTAGTGAAGCTTACTCCACGTTAACACTGGCAAAGTTATTTTGTGTTTGTTTGCCTGTCAAACTTCTGGGCACAAAGCAGAGTTTAAGCAGGCTCGCCAAGGGAGTGCCTGTTAAATGTTGCCCTTGTCTGCCCCAACAAGGGTTAATCAGAAGCAAACCTCCCCAGATGGCAGTCATAGTTGTTTTGTCACATTTGGAGGTGTTTCTCATCGATCTGAGAGAGAAGCTAATGTTCCTCCACTGGGGATACACTTGCCAGCTCCAGAAATGCTTTATTCTCCAAAAGTTGCTTTTTAGCAGGCGAGGGGGAGCAAATTTTCAGAGACAGAGACCGCTCACACTCATCTCTTAAACAACTGACTGCTTCAAACCCCAGAGCAGAACTCAAAGTACCAATCAAGAAACTGAAACTGTTTTAATTCACAGTCCAACAGTCAATGTTTGTCTTGAAGTCAAAAGTCACTTCCTCTTTACAAAACCCTTACCAAGAAGATCTTCAGCAGTCAGTGCATGGGCAGTAACCAGGGAGGGATGATGCTCGTGCTGGAAAGCTCCATGACCTTGCACAAGCAATGATTTTTCATGTTGTTCTCTTCGGGGCTGTGGTTGCAATTGCAGCACCCTGCACAGAGTGGTTTCTGTGCATAGAAATTAATCTCAACGGCTGCTTTTAATGGCTTGGTCCTTTCCCTTTGTTTCAGATCAAACAGAATGTTAGTGAGCCTTGTGCAAGCACAAGTGTTGCACAGGAATGGAGTTGTGAGAGCATTGACATGCCCAGTGTGCAGAAAACAAAATGTGCATAAATCAAATGCAGCTGTAGGCAAGAGCTGCTGTGGTATTGAATCAGAGTGGTTGGAGTTGGAAGAGACCTCAAAGATCATCTTGTTCCAGCACCCCAGCCATGGGCAGGGACACCTTGGGAAAGTTCAGCTCCTGTCCTGCCCCACATATATTTCTATTGCTGAATCACACATTGAAATTCCTACAGGGACTGTGATATTCTGCAAATGGATAATTTTTAACCCAGGGAGGTGGATCATGCCTCTCAAATGCCCTTAAGTCCTTATAATTACAATAGCACAGATTGAAGTATGTTTTAATTTCTGGTTCACAGAGGTTTAAAAACACTGCACCACATTCCTTACCAGCAAGCAATATTGTCTCCATTTCACAAGCTGAGCAATTTATTTGGCTTCGCACAATTAAATAGAAAAGCTACTGCTCATGTGTGAAATAAATGTGTCCCCTGAAACTGAGTCTGCCACCTTTTCTCACTGCAGTTCCCTTTTGTGGCTTTTTTGATATTAAAACTTGAGTTGATCAGGCATGAACTTTTCACCAAGTGATTCATATTGCTCCGCAGAAGTATCTTTCTTTCTTTCTTCCTCCCACAGATTAACTCAGCAGTACAAATATTAGCTTTACCATCAATGTTTCTATGTTTGTCCCTCAATTACTGTTTTTTAAAAAGGTTGATTACTGTTTTAATGGGATTGTTGCTGTGTGGCCTTTACATAATGGTCCAACTTACTGATATTTCCTCCCTAATGATTATCCTTGCAAAAGATGATTTTTAATTGCTCTTTTGTGCAGCCTGTTGACTCCATATCTTCACTTTTTTATTATTATATTGGTTGTTTTATGTCAAATGTTTGGAAAAGACCATGCCAAAAGAATTATTTTCTCATCATTTGTTCAGGAAGGATGACAAGTTAACTGCAGTTTATATCCCCCACCATCACCATTTCTACCTTACAAATACTGTAATTATATTAGCAGGATTCCAGGATGGTGGGTCTTCCCAGTTTTTAAAGCATTGTTAAAAACTAACGTTGCTAAAGGTTAAAACCTATCCTCTAAGCTTCCATCTTTGAATGAAATGGACTTGCTGCATTGAAAATGCTTATTAGCAGGTAGAGCCACACAGTGCTTTGTGTCAGTGGACATAATCTTTCTTTTTCATCTCCCATATGGCATATAAGTCCTTCTTCTCCCTTTCTCCTTTGTCTTGGAAGGCTGTCTGTTAACACATTTGCTTTTCACACACCTATTTATGACTTTATTTTTGTCTTTTCTTGATTCTTTATTACTGTTGGATATTAACACTTCTGTAATTCCTTGCAGTTTGTATTAATTTCTGTTAAATTTATTTCTTCCTGTTCTGTCTTCTTTTCCAAATAAATGTATTGCTACAGTCTTGTCTTTTTTAATCAAAAAATGCTTTATGATCTATGTAATGTTTTTGTGTCTGTTAAATCGTGTTCGTGAGCAAGCCCTGGTTTTTAGTAAGGTTTCCCAATTTGAAATTCACTTCCCAATTGCTGTTGCCCTGGTTACTTTAGGCTTCAGGAAAAAGGCTTCTCTAAAGCCCAAGGATACGCATCACTGCTTGGTATTGCTTATTGTTTGCTCAAAGGAAATGTAATCAAATTGTGAGGGCAAATGCCGAGGCAACCATTAGCTTTGAGAAAGCAATTAACTCTCCTCTAACCATCAGAATAATATCCAGTGCTAAATTCCAGATTGTATACTGCTGGATTATCCTTAGCAGTATTTCAGAAATTGTGGGGAAGACTGTGAGACATCTGGCAAATGGCCAAGCAAAGTCCTTCAGGCAGTTTGTATTCCCAAGTGTGCAGCCAGATGTTTGAGGACCCTCATTTCAATTCTCCTCTAATGAGATTTGCCATACAGCAGGCTGCTGTAACCACCCTAGTTGAGATGTCTGCCTGGGATTTAAATCCCCAGCTGTTTGAGGACTTTTAATTCCAAGTTGCCAGACTCTGCACCGTGTAGCTTTGTCCTTGAGGTAAAAGTATCATAATTTTTCAGTTTTTCCCTCTTCATCCCTAGGCACATTTTCCTATGATTCAGGCTATCCAACCCTATCCCATTAAGGTCTTCTGATTAACCTGCGCATAATAAATTCCTTGTTTCTAAAACACAATACATTTTGTTTGGTTTTGATTTGTTTGGTTTGTTTTTCGTTTTGTTTTATTTTTTTCAGATCTTTGCATTTTTAGCACTGATGTGTCTCATCCTAGCCATTGGCAATGGTATCTGGGAGCATGATAAGGGCTACTACTTCCAGGTCTATCTGCCCTGGGCAGAGGGCGTCAATTCTGCCTCCTACTCTGGCTTCCTCATGTTCTGGTCATACGTGATCATTCTAAACACAGTGGTACCCATTTCACTCTACGTCAGGTACGTGCCAGAAGCTCCTCTCACTTTTGATCTTAGGAGAGATTTAGCTTTTGCCTTAACTGGGAGCAGCATTTTCCTTAAAACCCAGCACAGCCCCATCATGGATGCTCCTGCACAACCACGGTGATGCTTTTCCTGTTTCTGCTGCCTTCAGAAGGTTTTGTCAGGGTTGCACTGGGGACAGCAGTGAGCCCTGGAAGAGGAGAGGATGATTTTGCAGCTAAAGGGAAGGTGTAGGTGTAGGATGCTATAGGAGCAGGGCTGGAAAGCCTGCCACCATTAGGATCTTGCTAACAGTGAATGAATGGCCTGTTCTTCGAGGTGGCCTCAGGACTGTGTGAGGATTGCCAGGTGAGTAGGTGCAACCAGGTTCAAGTGCTCGGTGCTATATGAGCAGGTGAGAGTGTTCTCTCCTCCCAGACAATGCAGAGCTCTGTTGGTTATTGTGATAGACAAATAGGAGTGACAGGTAGGCAATGTGTCTGTGGTGCTCTCAAAACTTGGAGCTGGGGTAGAGACTGCAAAGCCCTGTTCAATTTATCATTGTTGCTGCCTTCAGTCAGCTTTGCTACTGAGACTCTCTTCTGTGTTGGTAAACATGAGGAATGAATTCCATTCCTATCCAGTACGCCACCCAGCAAGGTGAAAACTCATGTCATCTGCAGCTGATGCCACTCTTTTGGTTGTACTGAGGGCACCGTGGCTCTCTTGGTGTGGAGCTCTCTGTGGTTGGAGACATGGCTGTGCTCATCCCCTGCCACTGGGCTCAGCTCAGCCCACAGCTCTGCTGGAAGCCACCTCCTGAAAGGGCACTAACTGAACCCCACTGCTCCCGCCTCGTTTCTCAGCCCGAAAACTGCTGAAACTTTTCAAGTAATTTTGTAAAGTACTGCTTTATAATGAGTTTGCTGTAAACTTAGCAGATCATTTCAGTGGGACTTGCTTCAGCAAGTGGCCTTACCACAGGCCACCTATGGACTGCTGAGTTCAACCTGTCATTACCTTCAAAGTTGTCTTCTAACTGCAATTGATAATGGTGGTGCTGAAGATGAAGAGCTTGTCCCTTAAGCTAAGGAGTATTCCATCACCTTCTGTTTCTGTTTCATCAGTGTGGAGATTATACGCTTGGGTAACAGTTTCTACATCGACTGGGACCGTAAGATGTATTACCCTGTGAATGACACGCCAGCTCAGGCCCGAACCACCACACTCAACGAAGAGCTGGGGCAGATCAAGTACATCTTCTCAGACAAAACAGGAACTCTCACCCAGAACATCATGTGTTTCAACAAGTGCTCCATCAATGGCAAATCCTATGGTATGTTTGTCTTACTCTCTGGGTTTTCCTCACTGTGTGCCTCTTCATCCCCAGAGACTAAATCTGACATCCAGAGCAGAATGCCATGTAAGGAACTGCAGTGATCAAGTGTAAGGCTACCCATCAGGGGCATCTGGATAGCCTGATTGCATCATTTGCCATGTATTAATAATTGTTTCCTCTTTTTTCCTCACTCTTTTATCTCCCTTTTTCTGCCCCATTACTGCCCCAACACTATTAGTTTCACCTCATTTGTCCCAGATTTACATCATCTGTACTCTAATTTGTTTTGGGTTTTTTCTTTTTTCTGATATCGCTAGTTAGGTAATCACAGCTTTTTGTGGTATTATTGGCATGGCTAGCCAGGTATTGCTAACCTTGCAAAATATAAATATATATATATATATATATATATACATACACACACACACATATTATAGATGTGTATATATATGTGTGTGTGTGTGTACATATGTATATATATACATATACATACATATATATATATGTGTGTGTGTGTGTGTGTGTGTATATAATTTACATAACTCACTCCCTTCTAATCATTTATGAAATCAACCATGCCTCATAAGGCTCATCTGCAAATTTTGTCAATTTCTCACCCTGTGTCTCTCTGCAATTTCTCATGTCATGAGCAGTGATTTTCCTCATCCTTTTCAGATAGTTGGAGTAATCAATGACCTGGTCTTTGTCTTTACACTTGACATTCTTCAGCTACCAGAAGAAAGGAAAGTTTGTAGGAAGTTAGAAAAAATAGAAGACATGAGTTGTTAGCTCTGTTAGATCCTAGAAGTTATTGATTTAAAAGGCTTTTTCATGCTATGGCCCCAGGCAGTTTTTTTCATACTGCTCAAGAGGTGCTAGCACTTTATAAACTGCCTAATTGATTAACATCATTAGATGCTCCAAAGAAATTAGTCACTGCTTATTTGTATATCGATGCTTGCTTTGCCTGTGTCACACTTGCGGATGCACTAATGTGCCAGAAAGCTTGCATCTTTTCTCAGTGCTATCAGCTGAGCTAATAAAAGAAGATATTTCTTCCTGTGAATCTGCGCATATTTGGAGACCACCTTATCTCAAACAGTGTTAGTATTAATAATGTGTTAACAGTGTTAACATTAATACTGCTAATGAGGAGTTTAAAATCTCTCCTATCAAGTGCCCTCAGTTGACTTTTCTGAAGTGCATGTCACCACTAACATAGATACAGGATAAGGGTTCAAGAAATGAATGGGAAATACATGCAAAGAAGGCAAAAAAATCTATTGCCTGTAGTTTTCTAAATGTTTAGCTTCTTCCTACCACAGTACTTCTGCTTAGGGGATTCTGGAAAGCAATGCCAGAAAGGATGATTTATTTCTGCTCTCCTCTGGAGGCTTAAGAGAAGGAGGTGCACAAAAGCCTCTTGGCTGTGGTTCCCAGGGAATGAGCTGATGCATGGATTCTCAGGAGAGGGGTTTACTGTGTGCCTTTTACACTCTTGGGGCCTTTATGAAGGCACACCAGCACTACAATTGGCTTTGGTCATAGCTGAGGTTGCTGGTGCAAACATGAGTCAATCATCCCTGTAATTAATTGCATTTTGATCTTATTTCAGTGAACTGTTGGGACTGGCTGGCCTTGGGACAGTCCAGACCTTCTCAGTGAAACTTTTCTCCAGGCAGAAGTTCTAGTAATGTTTCTTGGAGGTGGCTTGTCTTCAATTCCTATGACCAGATCAACCATTCAGGGAGAATCAACAGAGCAGCCTTGCTACCTAGATGTGGGAAAAATGAGCTTTGAAAACTCCTTCTGTATGGATGTCCAGGGACTGCTGTAAATACTAGGATCCAGGAGATGGATTTGGAAGGAGAAGGCACAAGAAAAGTCATCCCCTGGAAGCACTTTAATTTCCTGTCTAGCACTATAAACTCTATTTTCTCTGTGTTCAGCTCAAGACAAGTCTTCTTCACTCAAAAACCAGTCACTTTTATGGTAACTGCTTTGTGTTTCAAGCATCTATCAGTCTCCAGATTTTGTCATGTCAACATGGAAACTGATTGTTATGCATCATCAGTCATCAGTGCCCATGTCAATGTACTGAAACTTTTAAAATAGATTCTAACTTAGAAACACTTTACTCAATTTTGTGGCTCAGAGACTGCACTTACCTGCAGTTTGTGGCTATAATTTCATCTTTCTTGCTTGCAGGTGATGTGTATGATATGTCTGGGCAAAGGATAGAAATAAATGAGGTAAGTGCTCAAGTGCTATCAGGATCTGTGCTTTCAATGGACTTGGATAAGTATCAGTGGACAAAATGCTGCAAAGCTTATGTTTTTGACCCTGCAAGAGTTGATGCTCTTGATGCTCAAACAGAGATGTGTGTTCCTCTGGATGTCAGAGAATTCCCAGAGTTAAGTTCCTTTCCAGTAAGCCTGGGTTTAACCTCCAGATTGGGAACAGCTCTGTGTCCCCTCTGCTTCACCTGACATCCTGGTGCATGCACAGCTTCTCTTGAACACTTCACTATTGGTGTTTGTTGCAAACTTGGACATTGGTGAATTTTATTAACCTCATCAGCTAATTGAAACTTTAGTGTGGAATTAGTGAGTGCAGTTCACACCAATAGCGAGGTCACTGCTAAATTCCTCTGATGTCTGGACTTCAGAAAGTGTGAAAATGTGTCATTTTTACATTTATCTTTAGCCTCTGCTTGCAGGCACAAATGCACACATCTTCATTTCTAAAATGTCTGAAAGCTGCACGCAGAAATCCAAATAGCAAACAGCAATATGATGATGAAAATCCCACTCCTCATTCTGATGATTCATTTCCAATCCATTTAGAACTTAAATTGCCCACTGAAACAGACTGTTTGTGCTGAGCACTGTGCCTGCAGCCTGCCCTCTCTCCGTCAGCCTTGCTTGGTGACACACACTGGACCCCTGCCAGCTGTCCACCCCACCCTGCTGCTGGTGACACTCTCTGGAGCAGAGTCCTGCTGCCCGCACGCCCACAGCGCCGCCGTGCCTGGGCCTTGCTGCACAGAGCAGTGTGGGAGGGGTCGGTCTGTCTGTGCTCCTGGGCTGAGTGCTAAATGTCAGCGTGCAGAGGTCAAAAGGATGATTCCCGTCCTGGAAACTCTGAGCTCATCAGGGATGGGGTGGGAGTCAGAATTGTCCGAGGCAGGCTTGGCAGTCCATTACTCCATGACACATCATGTGCTAAGCTTCTAGACATTTCTCCACTGTGTTCCACTCTGCCTGGGGCTCCTTGTTTTTTGACAAAATGTGTAGTGCCTGTGGAGTTTAACTTTTACTTCACCTGTCTGTCCTATATTTTTCCCTATCAGAATTTTTTTCTGGCTTTGGGAGAGCATGGTGAATAAGACAGACTTTTGAATTGTTTTAAGCTGGGCACCTGCACTCCACTATCACAGGCAACTTTTGACATCATGAGCACAATGCTTCTAAGCAGGCATGTGTTTAAGGCAGGCACTTCTTTGCTGTAGGTATCCACTGGCAGGGCTCCTGTTGGAGCATTAGCTGCTGCTCAGAGAGGCAGTTTAGCTAATTGGTTCTTGGCCTGAGTGCTGCTCTGAAAGGCACATCTAGTGCCTGTTCTGTCCTATGATTAAATACCTGTCCTGACCTCCCACTTCCTTAAATCTACAAATCTCTGCCAGGAGCAGTCAGACATAGGCAGGATGGGGCCCTTTGTAAACATGAGGAGGAGACTGGGGCAGTGCTGGGCAGGAATTGGTGTACAGCCCTGTGAGAGCTCAACAAATAATACCAAGCCATGTTTTTTTCAGAACACACAGAAGGTTGACTTCTCCTACAACCCTTTAGCCGACCCAAAGTTTGCCTTCTATGACCGCAGCCTGGTTGAAGCTGTGAAGCTGAATGATGTCCCGACCCACAGGTTCTTCCGGCTGCTCTCCCTTTGCCACACGGTGATGCCAGAGGAGAAGAAGGAAGGTGAGGACTGCTGAGGGCACTGGAATGAGTGGTTATGCTCACTCACACCACAGAATGTCTTCTCTCCACAGAAGCTGTTATTGGTCCTTTTGGCTCCCTGGTGATTTTCTGTAGTGTAAGGCTACACATAAATCAGTGTGTTTGGAGATGGCACACAGGAAGAGAAAGGACCAGGGCCTCCACTCCCTGTGTGTTCCTGTGGTGGAGCTGACACTACTGCAAACACCACATCTCTCGAGTGTGGAAATTGCAAGCGCCCTGAGGCGGCTGAGGCTTGCCCTGCTCTCTCTCTACTCTGCTCCTAGCCCCAGAAAGCAAAGAACATTGAGTATCTATGCACTGGGGATTCATTAGCTCCTCTCACCCAGTATTCCCACAGCTACTAGGTCAGAATGACAGGATGAAAGCCATGCTTTAAAGGCTATAATTAATTGACAGGTATGAAGTGAAAAATACATGCAGATCTGACTAGAAGGGGCTAAACCCAAGGAACTTGTCATGTCAGTGAGATGTTAGATGCCAAAGAAGTGATTAAAATCCCCAAAAGAATCCAGAGGGCCTCTTGCCCTGTCCTGGAGGATGGGTTGGTGGGACATGATGGAGATGTGTGCACATAAGGTGCTTTTTAGTGCTGCACCTCTGTGGCTAGACCGAAAAGGAAAGGGATAGCTGCTGTATTATATCTTGGATACTGTATTTTTTTTTTTTTTTTAGCTCAGAAATAAGTCCAAAATGTTACTTTTTTTTCTTGCATATCAGGTAACTTGGTGTATCAAGCACAATCTCCTGATGAGGGAGCCCTAGTCACTGCTGCCAGAAACTTTGGATTTGTGTTCCGGGCTCGCACACCAGAGACCATCACTGTTGTGGAAATGGGAGAAACAAAAGTCTACAAACTTCTGGCTATTCTTGATTTCAACAATGTTCGCAAGCGAATGTCTGTGATTGGTATGTTCCCTTTGCTCCTTTATTTCCTTCCTGACATTTTAGGTTCTGGAGCTGTCCCTCGTTCTGCTATGATGCAGAATTTTTCTAGGAGACCTCCTTTGCAATGTGATCTGCATAACATTTGTTTCTGCAGATTTGAGATAGGCTGCTTTGACTTTATAATTACACAGCAACAGTGCCAGAAAAATACTTAAAGGAGGCAGGTGGGATAAATCTTAGCATCTGGACCAGAGTGATGCAAGCCACTTAGTTTTTCATATATCTTGCTCCCCTCATTACAATGCAGGAAAGGCCTTTCTTCTAATCAGCTTTTAAATTTTCAGTGAAATTTGAGGAAGTAGGACAGGAGAAAGCAAGAACAAACTGAGAAAACAGTTTTTTCCCAATAAACAAATTCCCAATTTCTCCCAAACAAAAATGGAGAAATTATCCAAGAAAGTTTTTGCAGCCTTTATTAACACTCCAACTTTCTCTAATATTTCAGGAATATTGTAATTGTAATTACAGTTTACTGGTAGGAAAATAGGAGAAGTAGGACTACTTCCCTAAAAACAAGTTGTTCTTCACTTTTTAGTGAAGCTCTGCCTGTAGAGACAACGTAGAGGCTGCTCAGACCTGCACTCTCTTTTCTAAGCAGAGCTTGTCTTGATTCATGGGAATTTGCCAAAACTTGGGGAAGTTCAGACACCTGTAGAAACTGTTTTTCTTGGTTTTGATGGAAGGGCTTTGTACTGCAAAAGACTCAGTCTGGGATTTGTAGCATTTCTTCTCCTCTTCCTCACAGTGCGGAGTCCAGAAGGTGACCTGACTTTGTACTGCAAGGGGGCTGACACCATTCTTTATGAGCTGCTTCATCCATCCTGCAACTCTCTCAAAGAGGAGACCACAGAACACCTGAATGTAAGAGCTTCCTTCTCAACAACATCTCTGCATTTGATGTTTTCCTTTTCTCCAGCATACTTTGTCTTCAGGAAAAAAACCCCCAGATTTTAGAAACAGCACTTAAGCACCAATTTTAATTTATGGAATAGAGAAACAAATTAGTTTCTATGGCTTTAGGTTTCAAATTAGTTGTCTAGGCATGAGAACCTGGTGCCGTGTGGACTGCTCCAGGACAGTCAGCAGATAGAGGGAGGTGATTCTGTCCTTCTGCTCTGCTCTTGTGAGACCTCTCTTGGAACACTGTCCAGCTCTGGGATCCTCAGCAGAGGAAGGTCATGGACCTGTTGGAGTGAGTCTATCAGTATGAAGATAATCAGAGGGCTGGAGCACATCTCCTGTAGCTGGGAGGTTTAGGTTTGTTCAGCCTAGAGAAGGCTCTAGGGAGACCTTATAACGTTTTGCAGTACCTGAAGGGGCTACAAGAGTGCTGGAGAGGGACTTTTTACAAGGGCAAGTAGTTATAAAAGAAGGGTTAATGGCTTTAAACTGAAAGATGGAAGATTTAGATTTATTAGGAAGAATTTCTTTATTGTGAGGGTGATGAGACACTAGAACAGGTTGTCCAGAGAAGCTGTGGATGCTTCATCCCTGGAAAGCATTCAAGGTTGAGTTGGATGGGACTCTGAGCAACCTGTTCTCCTGGAAAGTGTCCCTGCCCATGGCAGTGGGATTGGAATGAGATTATCTTTAAGGTCTCTGCCAACTCAAGATATTCTATCATTCCATGATTCTGTAATATGGACAAAGATGGCAAATCCAATGCATGACATTTAGAGGACCTGTGACTTGTTTCTGATGCGCCTTTACTTCAAGCCTGGGGGAAACCTCCCAAAGATGCATTTCACAAATGCATCTGTGATGTTCCACCAAACACTGAGCTCCATGCTGTCCATCAAAATCACAGTTATAAGGGCTTGCTGAGATGCCATGACTAGCTATGCTCCTGCAGTACATTTCATCCAGAATTCATACCCTAAAAATGTTGAACCCACGTCCAAAATTTGAGGCTGTGTTCAGTGTTTATTTAGGTCTCACTGTTTTGAACCTCTTGTTGAGAAATACAAACCTGAGAAACAAATGCTTGGTTAGTGCAAAGATTTAGAGCCAGAAAGTATAAAAGCCCTTTTGAGATTGTTGGTTTTTTTTTTTTTTTTTTTTCCATAAGGACAACAGATGGTAATGATAAAGTGGTGTTGAATTGCTATTTAAAAATACCCCAACATTTGTGGCCTAAGGTGTCATTTTTTCACCTTTCCTCTGTAAACTTTACCAAGATGCTTTTACCGATCCGATTTCTGAAGATCCTTTGTAAGCCCAGGTGACCAGACTGTTCTTCTTGGACCTGGGATCCTCTGTCTCACCACTGTCTTGCAGGAGTTTGCTGGGGAAGGCCTGAGGACACTCGTGGTGGCCTATAAGAGCTTGGAGGAAGACTACTTCCAGGGTTGGATCAGGCGTCACCACGAAGCAAGCACTGCCTTGGAGGGACGGGAAGACAAACTGTCAGAGCTGTATGAGGAGATTGAAAAAGACCTAATGGTTGGTAATTCAGGGAATCTGGGCCAGGCTCTGAGGGAGGCAGCGAGGGTGGTGGTTTGTCAATAAACAGCTCAGAATGACTTTGGTAAACACTGCTCTGCAAACAGCTCTGCAACAGTGGGCTGTGTGACAGGAGCAGGTCAGAACACGGCAGCCCTGGGTGTTCACTGGCACCTCCTTCAGGAGCCCACAACTGGGGTGTCAGCCACCAGTTCAGGGGAATGGTTTTATTTTAACTCACATGGGTGTCAGAGTAGCTTTCTCGTGATGAAGTGACATACCAGAGCCTGCAGGAGATGACGTGGACACAAATATTTCATAGCCATCCTTTGTATGTGCAAATGGCTGATCTATTTATTTTCCAGCCTTTGAAATGGCAGGCAGTGAATAATTTCCAGTGCCCATGAGAGTGCTTCCTTTGTTCTTCCAGCCCTGGGCAGGATGGGTAGATGATATCCATGAGCATGTTTATGTCAACTTGAAATTGAACTAAACTGTGATCTTTGGGGTCATTCTTCTCTCCCCAAGAGTTGTTACAGTTTTTAAATGCCCTGGAGGACTTGCCTGTGTTTTAGATCCATGAAAAATGAATGAAAAGCATGTGTGTGATCTGAAGAGAAGCAATCCAGCTTTTGTACTCGTGGCAGTGCTTTCTTGAAACCCCGGAAATCCTGGCAGACACCTTTGCTCCTTCCATTAGCTGTATGCCAGAATGCCAGCAGTGCTCAGGGAAGCAAGTGTGAGCTAGGAAAAGGCTGGCCTTTGGAAGTTCCATGGTCTCTCTAGCTGGATCAGAACTACTGTAAAACAGGGATTGTAGAGTTTCGAGAAGTAGAGAAGTTCCCTTAGAGCTGTTACTTACATTGATAATGCTCATAGCTGATGTATCGTGGACATCTCAGGGTGCCAAAAGGGATCCCAGGCTTAAATTCCCAACCTCTGAATTGAGTCTCCAAGCAGCAGGAGGTTAGTGGTAGCAGTGAAACCTCCGTGTCTCTTTGATGACAGGTTAAAGCCACCAAATACCTTCAAACAGCAGAAAAAAGCAGTAACTTCAAAAAAACGAAGGTTTGTGTCCTGAGCAGTCTGTGGTGTAGCTGTGTGACAGTGTGGACCAGGGGTAGGCACAGCTCTGTTAAGGGCTGGAGAAGATGTTTAGCAGCCATGTGACATCTGCTGTACAGCACAGCTGGGATCAAGTTCCACACCAGAGGAGGTTTGGGGACACTCTTGGATCCAGAGTGTCTTTGTCCCTCTATTAAATCTCTATCTGCTGTGAAGGGAACACATGGAGCAACACAGGCCTGTAGCTCTGCAAATATTCTTGCAAATAATTTCATGCACTTGCATAATCCATTGGAGTCTGGGGAGATTAGAGCCTAGAACATCTGCAGGATTAGGGCTGTACTCTGTACAGTAAATTTGCTGAGGAAGAATGACAATCAGTACAACCTTATTTCTGGGGATTTCATTTGTGTTTGCTTAAATAATTAGATTTAATGCTGCCTCCTTTGGTAGCAGTGGGAGGACTTAACCAGCTCCCTGCCATTTCTGTTAAGCTGCTAGGTGCCACAGCCATAGAGGACAAGCTACAAGATGGGGTCCCACAGACAATTGAGACTCTTGCCAAAGCCAACATCAAGATATGGGTTCTCACTGGAGATAAGCAAGGTAAAGGCACTACAACTTTGGCTGCTTCTCTTCTCCTCCACTGGTGGGGTGGTTCTGCTAGGACCTGTGTTCTCATTCTTTGAAAACTGCACCGAAGACAAACTTACACGGCTTTGCTTCATTGCCAGCTATGCAAAATTTCAGTTAACTGGAATTAGACCAGATGACTAGTTCGTGCCTGTCCTTAATTTCTGTCATGAGAGTGGAAGCAGGGTGAAGGCAGCATCCTTTGCCTTCGGAGAGGTGACAGTAAGCATCCCATAGTCCCTGACATAAGCTGTGAAAAGGTGTCATCCAGTTGATCATTCAGGTGATGAAGAAGCTGGAAAAAAACCTTGTCCTGCTTTCCAGAAACTTTAATTTTAAAGTGGATGTTGGGTGCATTTCAGCTTGTTTCTGGCTCTTATCATCCCAAATAGAAATGGAGAAAACATGGGCTTTTGGAGATGGAAAGAACAGCAAATAGACTCCAGTGAATTCTTTTGGAGATACAGCATTTTCACTGAAACAATGTTGCTTCAGGGAGACCAAAAGTATTTGCAAATAATTTCATCCAAAACATGAGCAGAGAATTTTTGAGAGAAACGAAATACTTAATTTTGTCATGTTCCAAATGCAATAGTTTTGCTATAAAATACCAAAATATATTTTCCAGAATTTTATGGGCAAAATGTCATATTCTTTTTCAGAGCTGTGGTTTGGTGCTTTTCTGGAAGCAGGGAGAGGGCAAGTTAAAAATCCTGAAAAAAAAATTTGAATCAGCCTGAAATGGTTTTTTTTTTGTTGCTCCAAATATGTTTATCAAAGGGTATTTTAAGCTTTTTCATTTTGGTGGAGTTATTTTTTTCCTGTGGTCTTGTGAAGTCAAATTTGCTGCTATATCCATCAAAGTGGCTCTCCTGGTTCTTTTACTGTTGACTCTGAAAGGCTTCAATCTCTTTTGGGTCAGAAAGAGAGCTTTTGTTTTGTGAGCAAAAAGGTCACAGAAATGGATTAATTTGGGGCTGCTGAGATGGATTATCTTCCTGCTTTGCCTTTCCTAGAGACAGCAATGAATATTGGTTACTCCTGCAACTTGCTGAATGATGACATGGAAGAAGTTTTCATTGTTGAAGGTAGCACATCTGATGACGTACTGAATGAGCTGAGGTAAATGGCTGAAAAACAGTTTCAGTGCCATGCACTAGCATTATTTGTGTTTTGTATCATTCCACCTTCTTTTTCCCTGTCAGCTTTCCTTCTTGCAGTTCATTCAGCTCTCCTTTAGATAAGGGAGAGCTGCCTCCTTGGAAGATCCAGAAGCTAAACACAATGTAGAAATCTCCTCTGAGAGTAAATGCTGAAGCTTCTTGATCCAAGAGCTCAAATTAAATAAAGGTTTATAACTCTAAAAGCAGAGTCAGATAGGGAATATCAGCTGAAATTGACCAACAAGTGGTCCTGAGCTACAAAGGCTTTGGCTCCAGGTTTGGGCTATGCTGTTGCTGTACTGCTCTTGCTATTTATTCACATTCCTTCTGTCTAGGAATTTCTTTTGTCTGGATACTTTTTTGGCAGTGTCTGAGAACTTACCTTCCTTCCTCATCTCCTCTGTAGACACAGGTTCTTAGGTAAAGGTGGAAAATGGGAAAGGTTCACAGTCTTTTTCTCTTGGAGTAGATGGCTGCCAGACAACATGCAGAGAAAACTGCATGTCTTTTGGGATACCATCCTTCATGGCACTCAGATGGTTTGTTTGACTTAAAATCAGCAGAAGTTTAGCAACACTTTGTTAGAGTTTCAGAGATGGGGATGATCTGTGCAGACAGTAGCAGCTAAACAATGCATAGTGTTGTAGGGATACAGCAAAAATTGGACTGAACTATCAAAGGGAAGCATTGATTTTTGTTTTCAAAAAGTTGCTTTTACAAAACATAGGTATATATTTGCAAGATTTTCAGATTTTCATTATTATCCTGGTTTCTTTTTTTTTAGGAATGCAAGAAAAAAGATGAAGCCAGACTCCTTTCTGGACAGTGATGAAATCAACATTCAGTTTGAAAAATCTTCAAAAAAGCAAATAATTATACCTGATGAGCAAGCAAATGGGGTGTACGGTCTGGTTATCACTGGCCACAGCCTGGTAAGGAAGGTTCAGAACCTTGCCAGGGATGAGTTCCCTGAAAAACTTACTGCAAGACATACTGAAAGTCTGAAAAATGCTATAAAAATTGAACTCTAGAGGGCAAGGGGTTTTCCCCTCCTTTTTGAAGACTAGGTTCAGTGGTTATCTGAGGCATCAAAGGTGACAGACAATGTTTCAGAAGATGTTTCAGGAACAGAGAAGAGTTGGCCTTGGTCTTTGGTGAACAAGAGGGATAGAGTAGCTGGATCATATTTAATTTCTGGAAACGTACTAGAAAAATAACAAGGTTTGTATTTGCAGCAAGAAGATAACATGAGACGTGGGTTTCAATGCCAAGGACATATTCTACTAAATATAGCTGAAAACAGATATGCTTAATTTATAGGATATAGATATTATGACTTTACTAATTCATTTATACTCTCTCCTATGATCTTCCAAGTAAACTGAAACAATACACTCTAGATGAAATTGTGACAGATTAAAGACTGCTGGGGAAGTGAAGGCCTCACTGTTGATCTAAAACAACAGTTAGCTGTCATCTGCAGAGGGTTATCCCACATCTGTTTGGTGCTCAGTGTTTGCATTAACTGCTTAGAAAGAGAGTAGGTAACACCAGACTGGGAGAGAGTACAAAAATATCTGAGTCAGGCATGATCTGGAAAGCATGGGGGATTTCTGAGCCTGGAGAACACTGATCAATCTTGGTAATACTCTTCAAAATTATAACAGGTAAACCAAGTAATGGAATTAAACTGAGATAAGAGAGTTCTGGGTGAAATGTCTTCCTGGGGAGAACAGTGAAACTCTGCAATAAATTATCTATATTAGGAAATTTTTTAGAACCAGTTAAAGGAAAGAAAAAACAACTTAGATCAATTCAAACCTGTCTGCGAGGAATATGTAATTTATGTCAGGTTTATTTATCTGTTGTATTTTACTGTCCCAGATCTCAGTGAAAGCAAATAGACATAGCAAATAGACATATTTAGAAAGTTCTGGGAGGTGCCACCCCCCAGAAACAAAGTGCTTCTGTTCCCTGTGGTTGCTACCTTCCTTAATGACAGCCCAGAAATTTTCACTCTCACCTTTACACCAGCCCAGGAAAAAAAAAAAATCTCATCTTTCTCTACATTTGGCTCATGTACCATGTGTATAGACCCCAAACACTGTCAGACAGTGCCTAGGTTGCCTTTCTCCCTCTTTTACACTCACTTCTCCTTGAACTCCAGGGCCATAATCCTCGGATTCCCACTGCAAAGCAGACAAGGGGTCTGTCAGGTTTGGTCCATGTACATTGCATGGACATCAGCTGGAAGCCCCTTGTCTGTTCCTAATCCATTCCTTCAGCCTGCAGAGCAGCCCCTGAGCCTCTGGCAGTGATGTCAAAGCTTTCTTTATATTACTGGAAAAACACACACTGGCCTACACCCTGGCAAGGGGATATGTCCCACACAGTCTGGGCTGTGTGGGAGCAGCCAGTCCACACAGCAGACACAATGAGTTCCACCAAGATTTTGGCTTTCTCCTCATTGGGGACCACAAGGACAGTGCAGGCAAATCTAGATGTCATTTATTTACTTCTACAAGTTTGAACAATGGTGTGATACTGTCCCACACAGAGCACCTGCTCAGTGCTCTATCCCTGCCTGTAGAGGGGTGTGAGGGCAGTGCTGGGCTATGCACACATCTGGGGTTGCCTGAAGAAAGCAGTGAACAGAAAATTGTCAGCATCCTTAATGGCATCATCACCCCACTTTATTTGTATGCAGCTGCTCCATTAATATACAAAGTGGTATATTATACATATACAAAGTGGTAACATTTGGCTGGCGCTGTGCAGCGAGGATAATTGAGGCAAAAGCCATCTCTGACTGCACTAACCATCACTACTCAGGCTGAACCATGAAAAGGTCTCCTGTGGATCAATCCTGCTGCCATGACAGAGCAAAAAGGGAACACTGGTGACTCACAGCTCTCTGTTTCAAAAAGAAAGAATATATGGCCTGAGGACTGTCTCCCTTGCACAGAGAAGGCAGTGGGCCCTGCTGTAATGGCTCTGAGCAGGAGTGAGCCTTGAAGATTCCTTCCGTACATGTCTGCTAAAAAGAGACAACAAAGAACAGAGCCATAAAGCATGATCTGAAAGAAATTTGAAAAGCTCACACTGCTTCCTCCTCCTCATGAAAAGCTGGAGGGGTGACTAGACATCCAATTATCTCAGTGCTTCTTGAATAGAAATAACACAGCTGACTGATTTAAAAGGTCAGTACTCAGAATAAAGCAGCCTTCTCCTTAGTTTTGTGTTTTGCTGTGTCATGCCCACCTGAGCTTAACTTTTCACATGTTTTTTTTTAATTAGGCACTTAACAAATTGAAATCTTTCCTATTTATCTCCCAGAGCTTAAATAGTAATCCAAGAGGGATGAGCAGAGACTCTCTCACATGGACATACACAAGGCTGTCTCAGGCCCTGCAGCAGCTTCCTGCTTTTGGTGTTTGACACTTCTGCCCTCTGTCAGGTTACATCAGCCAGAGCAGGTGCTGTGCATGCCCAGCTGTTGTTCATACCCAGATGTGGTGCATACCCAGCTGTGGTGCGTATCCAGATGTGGTGCCCCAAAGTGCAGCCTTGTAGGAGTAGGGTGCACAGTGTGATGTGCAGTGTGGATGCTCCCTGTGACTGGGTGGATGGATTCACCCACACTGGTGTAAGGGCCTGGCTCAGCTGTGGTGGGCACCTCACTGCACCCTCTTTGCCAGGCCAGGAGCTGCTGTGAGCCTGCCCTGAGCGCTCCCTTTCCTCCTTTCCTCTTTTCCTCCTTTCCAGGCTTACGCGCTGGAAGGGAACCTGGAGCTGGAGCTGGTGAGAACAGCCTGCATGTGCAAAGTGGTGATCTGCTGCCGGGTGACTCCCCTGCAGAAGGCCCAGGTGGTGGAGCTGGTGAAGAAGTACAAGAAGGCTGTGACCCTGGCGATCGGAGATGGAGCCAACGACGTCAGCATGATCAAAAGTGAGTGGTGGCTGACAGCCAGCGTGCTGTAGCAGACTGACTCAAAGAGGTGCCTGCTCTCTGAGGGAGACTAGCAGCAGGAACACATATCTGAGTGCCTCCTGTACCACCCTCTTTGTAGAAACATGTGTGTGTGTCCCAGGTTTTGGCAGATCTCTACAGAGCACTCTCACTACAGGTTAGTTGTGTCTCCTGCCTTGTGGGTCACACTGGGCTCCTTCAGGAGCTAAGGTTGCTTTTTTGGTTTCTCCCTTAGAGCAGATAAAATGGTTGGTCTTGATGATCTTACAGGCGTTTTCCAACCTAAATGGCTCTGTGATTCTATGAAAAGCCCGCTTGGGCTGTGATATGTCAATCAGTGTGTCTGCATGGCCACCATTGCAAGGACAATGTATATAACAAACAGTGTGGACCATAGAGGGCCTGACTCAAGGCAGAAATAAAATCTTTGTGCCTGTAAATATTCTGTATAATATTATGTGGGGTGCTTTTTCAGCATTTATTTGTGTCAGGACTGTTTGTTAATTATGTCCCTTGAGTTACATATGGTAGGCTTCCAGGCCTCTCCATCCTTGAGCATCATTTGATGCTGCATTACCTCAGTGAATTTATGAAAAAAAATCCTAACTAGGTATAATTAAATTAAGATTATTCAGACAGACCTATTGCTAATATTCCTTGTGTTAATTTGCAAGAATTGATTAACTGGAGCCTCTTAATTAAGAAAGAAAAGGCTAAGTAGAGAGCTTCAAGGGAGATAAGTCAGGCAGTCAGCAAAGAAAGGAGAAGAAAGTTAAAGTGTACATAATAATTAGAAACTAATCCATTCCCCCCACAAGAGGATTGAGACTACGGGGTTTTATCAATTCAGTTCAGTGGAAACATCTGAATCAAACCAGCCTTCAGCCACTAAGATTGTATTCATTAGTTAAAGCTGTATAATTAGCTGTCACATTAAGCTTATGTCCATGTTTAATAAACGCAAGTTACTATTAAAAAAAAATATGTGGCTCTTCTATCTTATTATTTGATTGAACTAATAAAGCCCAGGAAACATAAAAAGGCTACAGACTGCCTTTTAGCACAGTGTCTGAGAAAATTTAAAATGGTTTGAAGATTTTGCCTGTCTGGGATGATATTTTAAGGCTCCTGGAAGGACTTGCATGCATATTAAATAAAAGTCACATGTCAATATAAATTAAAGTTCCTTTTTCATAATAGCAGCCGTTATAAACAACAGTATTTGTGCTGCTGGAAAGCATTCAGAAAAAAACTGTAAACTGTCACTGAACCTATAATTTCATTCAAATAATAAAAGCCCACTTATGGGAAATGCATCACAGAGCCAAAATCATAGTGCTGCTGAAAGAATTAGTGCACCAATTTTTTTTTTGTTTGTTTTAAAAACTTTTCATTCTGACTTTCTATGAAGGCTGTGAGGGAATTAACACGGTATTCAATGCTGAATAATTCATTTTAAAAATGAATTTTAAAAAAGAGGGCAGTGAAAACTCTTGGTATAGTGAAGTGACCAACGACCTTCTTGTTGCAGCTGCCCACATTGGGGTTGGCATCAGTGGCCAGGAGGGGATGCAGGCGGTCCTGTCCAGCGACTTCTCCTTCGCGCAGTTCCGCTACCTGCAGCGCCTGCTCCTGGTCCACGGGCGCTGGTCCTACATCCGCATGTGCAAGTTCCTCAAGTACTTCTTCTACAAGAATTTTGCCTTCACCTTGGTGCATTTCTGGTATGGCTTCTTCTCTGGCTTCTCAGCACAGGTAGGTCTGGCTTCAGTTTCATCAGGGACGTGGAGATGGTCATAGGCAGCAGCTCTGCTGTGAAAACAGGCTGAGAGTGGAGGGCTGGTTCATCTGGGAGATGAGAAAGTTTCAGGGAGATCTTAGAGCACCTTTCAGTACCTAAAAGTGCTACAAGAGAGCTGTAGAGTAACTTCTTAGCAGGGCCTATTGCAATACGACAAAGGGTCATGATTTTAAACTAAGCTTAGATTGATTAACAATGAAGTAGTTTTTTGCAATGAACTTAGTAAAACATTCACAGAAGTTGCCCAGAGAGGGGGTTGATGCCCCCTTCCTGGAAACATTCCAGGTCAGTTTGGATGGGACTCTCAGCAACCCAACCTAGCTGAAGATGTCTGTGCTGATTGGAGGGAGGTTGATTTAGATGAATTTTACTGCACTCTTCCAAGCAAAGCCATTCTGTAAGTCTACATTTAGCATTTCCAAGTGAAGTATCTGGAAACATTTTATAAGGAAATAAACTAAGCCATTCCTCCCACCTCACTGAACAAACTCAGGTCTGTATTCCTTGGCCACATAGGTACAAAGCAGATATTGCTGCCTCCATTGCTGCTGCTGGAGGACGGATACCTGGAGACAGAATATATATTGTGTAATCATATAATCATTAAGATTCGAAAATACTTCCTAGATCATCAAGTCCAACCAAAAACCCAATACTGTCATGTTCACCACTAAAGCATGTCCCCCAGTGCCACATCCACATGTTTTTTAAACACTCACCATCCTTTCAATGAAGATTTTTTCCCTAATATACAGTATAAACTTTCTCCGGCATTTAGGTGCATTATGAAGCACATGCATCACTTGCAGGAATTTCAAAAGTATTCAAAGTGGTTGCAACCATCAGCTGATGACAGAGATTAGAGTTTGGTGCAGATCTTGTAAGATCTACACTTGTGCTGTTGGCATATTTGGAGCAAGCAGTTTAACCTGCGATGCCTGTGGGCAGCAGGAGCTTGCCAGAGGAACACATCCAGAGTGAAAAAACTGGAGCTGGTTCATGGCAAACCAGCCTCCAACTAAACACAGACATGGGGAGTGCAGACATCAGGGGCTGGGGGTGCAGGGTGGTGCAAAGGGATCCTGCTCTTGCTACAGCCAGCAGTGGGTGCTCAGCAGGCTGGGCTGGCATAATGTGATCCTTCCCCTCTTTAGGGATGCTGAGTTTGAGTCATCTCATCCCTTTTGTCTCAGCATCAACTCAAACCAAGGTGTTGCAGCAGGTAATTGCATATACTTTCAAAGAAATGGAAAGCACAACTTTTTGCTAACTTCACTTGCTTTGTTTTTGTTTTCCCAGACTGTCTATGATGAGTGGTTCATTACACTTTACAATTTGGTATACACCTCTCTCCCAGTGCTAGGAATGAGTCTCTTTGATCAGGTACTGTTTCTGTCATCACTTTGGGGATTTTATTCATAGGGGTTTTGTATCCAGGTATTTTGAGTTGGTTCCATGAAGCAAAAGCATCTGACCTTTTGGCTACATACTGTGGTAACCTCTGAAATAATAATCTGACAGAGAGAACTTAAATCGCAAAAAAAAAAAGATGCACCAGAGAGAAGGTGTATTCCCTTCTAGTCACATAATTTGGGTTTAAGTAGTCCTGTGAGGAACAGGGAGTTGAGATAAATATGATTACCCTGATTTGGCCTATAGGTTTCAGTGTGTGATGAGATTTTGGGTTATGCTGCTGCCTACAGCAGCAGGTGCCATTGCAACCCTCCCCTGGAGCAGTCATACCCTACTACCTGTGTTGTTGAAGCCTGGCAAGTGACTTCCTAATGACCAGACAAAACAATTTATTAACTGGATCTCTGAAAATAGATTTTGCAAGTTCAGCCTTTCTAGTGAGTTCTTTCTGTGGTAATTTCACACAAGTTTCAACCTCACTATTACTGTTTGACTAGACAAAGGAGCAATAAAGCTGCTCCTATATGCATTTTACAAGTTAAATGAAGGGGCATTGGTTACTTTCCAGTGGATCAGTGCTCCACTCTGGACACTTAAGGGATCCAAGTGAGACAGCCTTGCCTGTATGAGGAGGTATTTTCTAACTCTTAGCTTCCAGACAATTCTCTGGAGACCAGACCATGGAGTCTGCTTTAGATTAAGTGTATATTCTTTCTTTTTTTATCAGCTGTCAATTTTTTTTTAGCACAAGAAAGGTAAAATACTTTATGGTGACCTTGGGATGTGCCATGCCTGTAAGCACAACGGAGTGAATTGTGTGCTAGGCCTTTTCTCATGGAAATGCATGTCACAGGGACATGGCAGCCCTAACTGGCTCTGTGTCTTTGGCTGGGTAGCTGCCAGCAAATCTGACTGTCTCCTCTCTGCTTTCAGGATGTGGATGATCGCTGGAGCATGCTGTTCCCTCAGCTGTATGTGCCTGGCCAGCAAAACCTCTACTTTAACAAGGTGGTGTTTGTCAAGTGCATGTTGCAAGGGATCTACAGCTCCCTCATCCTCTTCTTCATCCCCTATGGGGCCATGTACAATACAATGAGGAGTGATGGGAAGGCCATTGCTGACTACCAGTCCTTTGCTCTGATGGCCCAGACCTGCTTACTGATTGTGGTGTCTGTACAGGTAAGGCATCCCAGGTAATAGTTTTAGGAATTAGTTGTTTCATGATAGCAGCATCTGGAGGGCCATTGACAGCATTGCATTTGCTACTGCATTGTGCAATCCTGCAAAAAAAGTCTCTTGACACCAGATTAGTCTCCTAAGTTCAACAGAACAGGAGATCTGTATGCTATAAAAGATCAGGGTGACAGGAAAGAAGAGTCTTTGCCTTGGGAAGATTACAGTCATAACAGACAAATTAGTTAAGGCAGGGAATAGAAAAGGACATGTTCTAGTTTTATGGGAAGGGTTTGAAGCACAGGGCTGTCTGTCTGCCATCAGGCAGTTATTTATAGGTTCTCCATTATGGAGATGTCTCTGCAGCCTGGCCCAGTGCATGATGTATGTGTGACACAGCCTGAACTTGCTGGAAGAAATAGCTAAGACTTGGTGGTAGAAAAGTCAGATGGTACCATCAGGATGAGAGAGATTTCTGAAAAGAAAACCAATCAATCACACTTTCCTGGATAATAGTTCCTGCTGTCTGAAGTCTTTGCAGACTTGTTCTCCTAACTTACAGTGTAAGGAGTGGGGAAATGAAGCCTGACTTGTTTGAACATACTGTGTTCAGCTCCGGGGCCCTCAGCATAAGAAGGATGAGGGCCTGTTGGAGTAAGTCCAGAAGAGGGAGGGCCATGAAGCTGATCAGAGGGCTGGAGCACCTCTGCTAAGGAGGCTGAGGACACTGGGATTGCTCTGTCTGGAGAAGAGGAAGCTCCAGGGAGACCTCATTGCAGCCTTGTAGTACTTACCAAGGGCCACAAGAAAGCTGGGTAGGGACTTTTCACACAGGCATGGAGTAATAGAAGAAGAGTTACTGGCTTTGAGATGAGAGTGGGTTTAGGTTAGATACTAGGAACAAATTCTTCCATGTGAGGGGGTTGAGGCACAGGCACAAGTTGCCCTGGGAAGCTGTGGATGCCCCATCCCTGGAAGTGTTCAAGGTCAGGATGAATGGGGCTCTGGTCTAGTGGAAGGTGTCTCTGCCTAAGGCAGTGGGATTGGAACAGGATGATCTTTAAAGTCCCTTAATATCCTGTCTCTGGGACTGGCCACTAGTGAATGCTTGAGGAGAGGGAACAACAGGATAAATATAGTAATCTTGCCTTCAATGGTTTCCCAGAATCTTATGATTTGTGACCTGTTATTTCTTGAGGCTTGAATGAATAGCATGCTCAGGGGGAGATGTACAAAGCAGAGGACAAGCTGTGTTCAGCACAGATCTGCTAAATCAGGAAGGCACTGACAATAGCTGCATTGCTCTCTTCTTTCAGATTGGCTTGGACACCTCTTACTGGACAGTTGTCAACCAGTTCTTCATCTGGGGCAGCCTTTCTGTTTATTTTGCTATCACGTTCACCATGTACAGTGACGGCATGTACCTGATCTTCACAGCCTCCTTTCCCTTCATTGGTAAGCCTGGGGACAAATCTGGATTGCACTCAGAATTGATATACTGCAGAGCTTAAAGTTTCCAAGCATTTCTATGTATATTTCAGGATATATTGGTTGCCTTTTCTGCAAGAAATGCCAGGATATTTCTGAGGGTTGCTGGGATTTATTTTGAATCCCATCCATCCAGGTGAATGTGTGCCATGTTCCCTTCCTTGTGTAAGATTCCCATGCAGTCATAAGAATTGTCTTTTAAATAAACCTGATGAGCTGGATGGAATGCTTTCTGCTGCTCTTCTATGTCTGGGTTCCAGATATCCAAGTTTTACAGCTATATAGGAGCGTCTTATTTGTAGCTGTGTGATCTTTTTAAAGAAGTTAACATTTTGGCATAGGAACGCATAGAAGTACAACATCCAGTCAGACATGAGAAAAATGCCATGTAATTATGGTGCCAGGATAAATGGCAAAATCCCCAACAACAAAACATACCAGTGGTGACCAGGTCTTTGTAGTTATTTTACACAACAAATTTCTGAACACGTGCAAAAAATTAAGGATAAAAAATGAGTCCATCTCCTGAGACTTTGACCAGGAAGAACATGTACTTATATGTAAGCAAAGTAATTAAAAGCAATTCAGATGTTTTTAATAGCTCTGTGCATCCATAGCCAATATAGATAAAACATTGTTATGAGTCTCTACTTATGAAATCCCAACACTTTTTATTTCAAGTCTCAGATCTTTGTATTAATCAATGCCTTCATTTTTTACTGACTTTTTCAGTAAAAACTTCTTTTGTCTATCTTCACTGCAACAGCAAAGGCCTTAGAAATATCTGAGATGCAGGTTAGTTGTTGCAACATATCTTTCAAGCAGATGATCACATCCACTTTGAGATGGCTTCAAGAATCAAAAATGCTGAGTGAGAGAAATCAGAATGTCTGTTCAATTTCCCAGGGCAGGTGGACAGTTGGACTGGATTATCTTGGAGGTCTCTTCCCACCTTGAGGATTCTATGATGGTTATAGCTCACTTGCCAGGGGTATCTCATCTGCTGCTCTGTTGTTACTACATTGGTCAAAGAAGGCACAATGCTGAGGGCCTCTTAATAAGGTGCCAGTTTGAAACCATTTTTTAAGGAAAGTGTTTTTAGACTGGACTAAGACAACTTGTTTACTTACATTTCAGTGAAGCTGTATTACAGCAGAATTTGGCCAACTGGAAAGAAAATATTCAGCAAATATACTGCCAACACCAGCATCATTAAGTCCTGTAATGAGGGTTTTGCAGACTGTTTGTTCTATTCAACATTCCCACAGTTTTGTAAAAGCCAGAAATGAGCACTTTGGTTTCAAAGGAGGTGTCAGTGACATGCCACCATGTAGCAGTGGTGCTGCCAATACCCCTTTAGGCTACACTGTCTGTGCAGCTCCCCAGAGCAACACATGCTCCTCTCACAAAGGGCAGTGATTCCCATTGCCTGCTGGGCAGAGCCAGTATTTCATATCCTTTAGGAAATGGTGCAGGGAAGCAAGAAAGCATTATTCTTCCTTTTGCACTGGAATCCTGGGCTGCTGCTTAAGGTCTTCTGAATGTTTATATCAATCCTTTGCTGTGATTTGACTCTTCACAGAGAGAAAAGACTCACTCTGACACCCTTGTCCACCTGGGTTGTTGCTGCAATCATGTCTGGACATTGCATTTCTCTTTGCTCATCTCAGACAGTGACACTGGCTTTGCAGTTCTCTCTACAGCCAGGTGATTTCAATGTTGGAGATGAGTCTGCCTTGTATTTTGGTCTATTTGCCAGGTGCTCTGAAATCACAGAGAGCAGCAGGGAATAATGGTGGGAGCTGCTGCTTTTGCAGTTTTAATCGTGTGTGCGTTTGTTTGTTTTCCAGGTACGGCTCGTAACACACTCAGCCAACCCAACGTGTGGCTGGCCATCTTCCTCAGCATCGCCCTCTGCGTGCTGCCCGTGGTGGGCTTCCGATTCCTGAAGGCTCAGTTAAAGCCTACTCCCAGTGACAAAGTAAGGAGATACCTCATTAAACCAGAAATCCTGCTTGCCATGGCCTAGGCTCACTGTGGAGCCACATTTCATGGGCTTGGCATCACCTGGGCAGTGTGTCTGTATTGGTGCAACTGCTGCCATCTGTCTGTCCCTGACTCCCCAGAGAACAAGGATTGAATTTTGGGTTTGGCACGGTTCAAACCATCTGCAGCTGGGACCAAGGCTGAGATTATTTAGATGTGGATTAGATTGCTCTGAGGCAGGAAAGCTGCACTATTTTTAGGTGCAGGGTTTAAGCGCTGTGGCTCAGTGGCAAAGGAGTGGCATGTTCCTCCTGCCCTGATGCTGTGCAGTTTTTAGCCTGGCAGACCACAGGCTTTCACCCTCCACTAGGGAATATATGTTTGCTGGGGATTTTTTTACCTCTTTCAGAATTTACTTTTTGTAGCCAATGGCTGTATGCCCCCTCTGGAACCAGCTTCCCTCCCATCCCTGGGAATATGAAGGTGAGGGCACAAGGGCAGGGAGAGGCAGGGAGCGATGGAGTGGGCAGGGAGCACACTGCTCAGTGCAGCCAAGGGACCCCTCAAGAGCATCAGCGCACTCAGAGCTCCCCGGGCTCGCTCCCAAGCAGGAGCATTTGCTGAATGCTGCTGCCACCTCGTGCTTCCTTCCTCTCCCTGCACCGAGCTGCTGCGAATCGGGTCAGAGCGCAGCCCCAGGGCAAGGCTCCGCAGCTGACGCCCTCCCTGGTCATCCCCGGGATGGCTGTAGGAGAACATCAGGGGAATTCTCAGCCCTCGCAGAGAGGGTAGGCGGGTGCTAGAGAAGACTGCTGGGTAGGGAGGTCCTTGGGACACAGCTGGAGGCAGTTGGGGGGTGTAAAAATGGGCAGAGTTTACCCCAGCTGAGCAGAATTCAAACACGGCTGTCGCACAGAATCCCAGCCTCACTGCTGAGGTTGAGCATCCCTCTCTCTCTAGCACAAAATTACCTCTCTGCCTCCTCTTGGAAGTGAATGGTCACAGGATAGGAGTGGGTTTCCAGCTCTCCAGCTCCACAGAGTCCCCCAGATGGTGGCAGACAGGCCTGATGTTTAGAGAGGCCAAGCACCTGCCGCTGCCATTGTGCCAAGCAAGAAGCGCAGGAGTCTGGCAGCTGGGGGTTCTGCTGAGCCACAGGCTCTCAAGAGCAGCATTAGACAGCCCCATTCTGAAAAGGTTCTTGGCAGCAGATTAACTCAGTGGCCACCTGGGAGCAGAAAGGCCACTATCTGCAAATAAAGTGCAGTATTTATTTCCCATCTGCCAAGGAATAGTGGAATCTCTCAATTATCCCTGTGAGCATTCAAAGCCAAGTTGCATGAGGTGTTGATACACCTGATATAGTGGCAGTGGGGTTGGAATGAGATGATCCTCAAGGTCCCTTCCAACCCAAGCCATCTATGATTTCATAGTTCTATAACATTCATCATTGTAATCATAAAAAGCTTTTATGTATCAGAAACTCCCTTTACTAGCCTGTTTTCTATATTAAATATGCCAGTCCTTGAATGTTTCTTTATTAGTTTTCTGGAATTTTGACTTTTTGAGATGACTTTCACATTGTGGGTGATTTGAGTGAAAGTCCTACAGCAATACCCCAACCATGGCATATCAGAGATGTGGGGAAATCATGGAAATCATTCCCTCCCACGACTCACAGATGATGCTCCCATTAACACCTTTTAGAATAGAATAGATGCCTTTTCCTAAATTTTCCTCTGGATTCCCTGCTTTTGTTTCCCTTTCTCTGCTCCCCTTCCGCTCTGCTTGTTAATACTGATGCACTTAATGATGCTTGTTAATAATGATTCTGCTTTTCCTGCGTTCTCTTGCGGTTCCCAGGTGCTACTGAAGATCAAGGAAGCCAAGAAGAGGCCCCCTCCGCCCTCTCCCAAGCGGCGCCTGCGCCGCACCAGCACGCGCCGCTCCGGCTACGCCTTCTCCCACCAGCACGGCTTCGGAGCCCTCATCATGTCCGGGAGGAACATGAGGCCAAAGTCACCTTTTGCCACAACGGGAACATTTTCACCCAACAGTGACAAATATAAACACAAAGGATTGTAACGGAGGAGGAGAAAAAAAGGAGAGAAGAAAAAAGACACACCCCCCTTCACCCCCTTTTTCCCCTTAAAGATTAACAAAGCAAACCAAAGTAAAGGGCTGTCAGGAGAGGAGGCTGTGCTGCCTGCAAGGCACCAAGACACTGGCTACCCAGAACTCTGCCCTCTGGGCTGCCAAATCAAGGACTTGGGGCTTTCCTTTCACCCACGTGCACTCTCTGATTCTAGTTTCTTCTCCAGAGACGTGTGCTGCTGCTGGGGAAGGCGAGCAGGGTGAGCTGGAGCTCTGGTATCCCAGAGGGCCTCCCTGGCACAAGAGAGAGTGTGCTGTGGGAGGCATCTCTGCTCCCTGAGATTGTTCATAATGATAATGTTTTTTTCTCCCTCTAACTATATACCTCAGAGCAAAGAGAATTTCAGCCTGAGGAAAAGGTTGAATTGGCAATGTCTTTCTCAGTCATGTGCCTTCTGTTTTTCTTCATGAATCGACTCTGGGCCGTATTACTGGGGTGACAGTATTGACCCCAGGTGTGCCTTAGGTCCAGCCACACAACCCACAAATCCATAGCCTTTGTAACGTGTGATTTTGTAGCCTTTTGACTGTGATCCACTTTCTCAAGAGATGGCCAGTACCCAAACACCACCCTCTTCCCACATCTGCCATCAGGAAGTGCTGCAAGCTCAGAGAAACCCTTAGTAGGTCAAGGGACCAGGAGCTGACAGTCATCAGCCTGCCCTGATTTATCTGGGTTGCAAATCTGCTCTTGTAAAGGATTATTGTCCTCAGAACCCTCTCAAGCTTTGTAACTGGGCACCAGCCATTTAATTTAGACTTAAAATAAAAGAGCAGAAGGCACTCAGGCTTCCTTATGGATCAAACCATGAAATCTGGCCCCTGAGAAGCCCATGCCATGATTAGGGCTCAGCTGAGCTGCCAGCACAAGGCATCTGCCCCCCCTTAACAGAATGAGGTGTGTGCACATCTGGCTTGATGGTGATCACACCAGAATTACTGAAGCCAGAAAAGCTATTTCATGGCCAGCAGCTGAAATAGGCTTTGCTCCACTGGTGCTGGGGTTCAATGTGAGGGATAAGCATGGCCTGGTGGCTCCCTCACCCTCCCTGATGAGCAGAGTGGCCACAATTCAGAGGAACTCAGTGAGGCCTCAGGAGTCTCTGCAGTGTTTCATGGCTGCAGTGTTTCTCTGTGCTGGCTCAAATTTTACTTGGGAACAGGTTATCTATCAAACGCGGGTAGCAGAGAGCTGAAAATCCGACCAGTCTGACTGCCAGCAGAGGGACCTAAAATGCACAGACGCAGCTAAAGACGTGGTGATCCTGAGGGACTGGGATTTGCTCGCTGTTTTGTCACAGCAGCTCCATAATCAGCAGGGTTACTGGGTGGAAGGCCAGCGTGGCAGCATGAGAGTCTGTCCTGCCAGCACTGCTGAGCTGTCTAAATGCAGCTTTTTTTGTGCAGAGGACTAAGCCTCTGGCTGTTGTTACCGGGGTGGTTTTTTGGTTTTGTTTTTTTGTTGAGGTTGGGTTTTATTTTTCAGCTCCATTATACAAATTTAGACTCCTTTCATAATTTGAATTGGATTTTTTTTTGTGCAGTAATCAGTTGATATTTATGAGACTCTGCCCTGAGTCTCTGAGCTGTCAGGAAGCAGTGTATGATGGCAAGAGGCCAGCCATGTCCCCGTGTCATGGAACACCCTGCTGCCTGTGGTCCCAGTTTCAGCACATACTGTGTGAGATTGTTTGAGCTCTAATAGAAGGTTTCATCTCCCTGTGTTTTAACTCAGTGCAGGAAAGAAAAAAACAAAAACCACAACCATACTAGTCCGTTGCACCTGCTGCTTGGGGAGGCTTGTTGCAAACTGTGGTATTAAATTTCAGCATGGCCAGTGCAAAACTGGAGCTGGGGCTGGGTCCAGACTTCAGTGTCTAGGAGCTGCTTGCTAGGGAAGGAGTAAATTATCTGGTGATCTCCCCTGGAAGGAGACACCTGAGTAAAGTGAGAGCCTGCACTCTGGCTGAGGAAACCACTCTGGTAATTCATGCTTGTCACCTCCCCCTGATTTACCATTCACTTTGCAGAGACAATCATGGCTTTCTGACCAGGATTTTACTTTTCACATCAGCCTCCCTGGGGTTAGGGGGAAAAGGAGAATTTGTGCAGATAAGCAGACAGAGCCATGATACCCAGACTGGTCTGTGGATTGAAAGTCCTATCAAAGCTGTTCCTGGCATCTGATGCAGCAGAATATATTGCAGAGCAGCAGAGGCAGATCTTGTGCTGACAGAGCAAGGAAAATCTGACACTGTGCTTCTCTTCTCATACAGTTTACGTGCGAAGTACTCACCTTCTGGCTAAAAGGGGATTTGAAAATGTTGGCTACAACATGTAGGGGATAATAAAGCTGTTGGTGAGCTTGCACCAGATACAATTCTTTGGGTGGTTTGACACAATCAGCATCTGAAACACATCAGCTGGCAGTGATGTCTGTACTACATCACTCCTGATTTTGTAAAATAATTGTTTTTTTTTTTTTTAATAAAAAGAGAATATTGGGATGATAGATTCCGTGGCACACTGTTAATTGATGTAACAAGTTTATACGCAGAAGTGCACGGGGTGGGGGGACGGTCTGTGGGACAATGGATTTGAGACGGCCACCCTTTTCATCCGGTATCCTGACGCGGGAAGCACACAAATTCCCAAAATTTTCCATCCTGGCTAGGATGTTTTAGGAGGAAACTCAGAGGAAACGTCAGACATCCTTAGGCGGAGGGCCCGTTGTGGGCGGGCA